CATTTGCTCAGTGCCGTTTGATCCCTTTTTTCCTCATTAATTTGAGTTCATAATAGATCAATATATACATATTAAAAGAAAAAAGACCAGACACATCCACTGCAGCTGTGAGAACAGGCAAACAAAGCCAGCCTTTCTGGAGGAAAAACACATTTCTGTCTTTTATGCAATAAACCAGCAAAATGCTGCCCTATGCTAAAATCATTACCCAGAGAAACACCCTTATGTTGTGATTACCAACATAAGTGCTTCATTTTAATTAAAAAAAACCCCAAACATGCAAGAAAACCCAACCCAGGCCTTGCATGATGAACGTTGTTAGAGAGCCGCTATCGACACGAGGAGACGAAGGCATCCTGAAGTTGGGTTGGGGGGGGTCTGGTGCCACCGTGTCACCCGAGGAGGGGTGCTGATGGTCTCAGCACCTCCCCGCACCCCGCTCTGGGGGGAAGACATAAGCCAAAGGGTCAAAAAGGAGGATGTGGGACATTTGGGGTCCCCACACACACACAGTCAGGTGCAAAGCACGACCCAGCATCCATGGGGCTGAGCTCAGCCTGTCCTTCCTAAATTGGGATAGTAACCAAAAAAAAATCCTTCAAATCTGTTTTAAGGGCTTTTTCATGCTAGCCTGGAACTAGAGAGACCTCACACAGCTTCTTCTGTCCTCCAGTGCCTCAATTTCCCTTCTCAATCCCTTTTTCCCATGTTTATTCAGTAATCATCTCTAAGGTCAGTAAGAGACCACTCCAGCCTTAAACAGGGCTTCTGCTGCAGAGTGAAAACTGTCAAAAAACCCCACTGTGCCCTCAAAATACCCTCAGTGCTGCTGGCTGAGAGAACACGAGTCCTCTTGGCCTGCAGCATTGCATTTTGAAGGCCAGGGAACTCAGCAAGCATCGCACCTGCAGCACTGCACCTCGAAGCCGGCAAGCACGTGCCCCGCGCTGGATCCCAGCCCTGGTATCCCAGTGCCGGAGGACCTGGTGCGTGGGAAGATGACAAAGTTGAGCTGCATCCCTCGTGACTGCGAGCATCTGGGATTTTCACCTCAAGGCAGCCTGAAAGCCAACCCATTAGATGATAACAATTCACTTTGGAGATGAAGAAACTCAATTTTTTTTCAGAACTTCAACCCAGAACAAAGTTTTGATTTGCTAATGGAAAAATCGACATAAAAACAAGCATGTACTCACCAATCAAAGGAATCTAAGGAACTCTGCTCAAGAGGCTGCTGCCCAGGTTTGGGTTAGGAGCGGGGTCAGCCCTGCGCCTGCATCCGCGCTGCTCTTCGGGGCTGGTATCGCAGCCCACAGCTGGCCACGGAGCTCCTCTACCAGAGCTCGTCCGGTTCTCACTGCGGTCACTGGTCTCAGCTTGCAGGGCTGTGGACCTTTACAAGCTGTTGTGAATCCAGGCCTTACTATTTTCCATAAAAATACAAGAAAACGGGGAAAAAAAAAAAAAAAACAACAACAACCCACCACAGTAAGTGTTACAATAATTACAAGGACGTTTTAACACATGTCTCAATTTGCATTAATTAAATCAACGGGGAAGCTTCAGTTGAGTAAATGAGGTTTTTTCTGAGCAGCAGCAAATGCTGCGGCAGGCTGGAGCTGGTAACTCCAGTTTGCTGCATGGATGTGTGGCGGGATGGGGAGGGATCTGCCGGCTGGAAGGGGCTTCCCAGGAGGGAGGCAGCCACAGGCAGGACGAGCTGGGGGTGGGGAGGATGAGAAGAGGACTCCCAGCTCTAATATACAAAAACCTCCAAGCCGGGTCTGTGCTGACACTGTCAGATTTCAGCCCGGAGTCTGGAGAGTGGAAAGCTTTGAAGCCGAAGCCGGTCGGAGGGCGGAGGTTGCTCTGCAGAGATAAGCCGTGGGTAAGAGGAATGCGTCCATTCATACCCCAGCCATGCTGCAAGCACAGCTGTGAGGGGAATATAAATGGGCAGCGTTTTGTTTTGGTTTTTTTTTTTTGGTTTTTGTTTTTGTTTTTTATTTGTTTTTAAAGCCGCTGGTTTGAATATGAAAGCAGATCAGACACAGTGAAATGCTTGGCTGGGAGTGAACTCTCCCCCAACGCACAACCCTCCAGGGCAGGGGACGGCTGGGCTCCCAGCCCTGCAGGCGGGTGGCCCGGGTGCCAACCCCCTCAACATAACGGAGTTGGTGTTTCCTTCCCACATCCCTGAGAAGCAAAATCCCTCTGTGGATAAAACACAGGGGATTTATACACACGAACCCCAGCTAGTTCACATTCAAACCCGAACCTCTCCATTGTAAGGACGCAGCAACCAAGAGCTGGTGCTGGCAGATTGCTGTGACAGATCCAGGCAAACCCTTAACTCCTACTTTTTTTTCCAAAAAACCTTCCAGTGTGGCACAGACAAGCTTGGAGCCGCCCAGGCCACCCCAAAGATCACAGAGCTCTGTCACTGGCCCGGGCGGGCGGCAGGCAATGACGCCCTGTCCCTGCCATGGCTGGCCTGGGAAACGCTGGCTCCACAGAGCTGTCCCAGCCCTTTTCCTTCCAACCCCTCAAGCCCAGCAAAGCAATCCAAGCAAGCTGGGATGGGGGAAAACACTGTCTTCGTGTGCTACACTGGGGATTTGTGCTGCATCTTTCATGCACGCTGCCTCCGGCCTCGAGGCTGGAGCATGTAATGGGGATCTGGAGGAAAGTGCTGCTTGCAAGGGGAGCCTGAATGAAGAGATGGCTCCGGGCTGGATTTTAAAGCAGATGCAGTGAGTCAGTGAAGTAGGAAAATGCTCAGAGAGGGATCGTGCAGCACGGCGTCCCACAGAGAGCAGAAAGGGGCCGGTGGAGTGGAGGAAAGAAAGTGTCTGCCCTGCCCAAGTCACCCAAGGGCTTTTTTGAACTCCCCTCTTTCTTCTGGTGAGGTTTTCCTCTGGAGGCACAAAGACAATTGGGAACGTGGTCCCGGGCGCAGAGGGCAGCTCTGGAGCGGGGAGCAAAGGGATGCAGGGCCAGGCAGAAGGACATCTGCTCACTTCCCTGCTCCCCCAACCCCATGGGCACTAGCGATGGGAATAAGCAGCTTTCTGTGAACCGAAGGGTTAATGAATGTCAGAGTCACCCTCTGAGCACAGGCAGCTTCAGCCACCCCCTTCCTGAAGCCTTTACATAAGAGTCTTGCAGAATTTATAGCCTGCCTCAGCTGTGCCGGGCTGGAGCCGCGGCCGGGCTGCTCCCCTGTAGCTGCCAGTGCAGATCGCCGGCCGTGCTAATTCTGGGAGGAAAATGGGATTTGATTTCTGCACCAGTCACTGTCTCTCACTGTTAAAACAGGACCTGATGGGCTCTGGCTGGCCCCCGCCCTGGCTCACCCACAATATTCCTTGCATACATTGACCTTGAATGTCCCTAACCCACCCTCAGCATCTCAGCAGAGCGGTGCTGAGGCTCCCTGGCTTGTCACACCCCAGCCTGCTCCCGGGGCTAGAAATGGTGATTTAGGTGTAAAACAATTTAAAAAAAAAAAAAAAAAAAATCTGGAAGCCTCAAAACCACCGTGGTCTTGCGGCCCTGTTCACATCAGTCCTTTGTGTTACTGGAGAGCAGAGGAGACGTTGAGAGATGTCCTCTCTGCTGCTGCACAGCACTGCGCCTCCCCCCCTGAGGCCATCCTGGAGCATCCTCAGCCCTAGGAGCCACCCTGAGAGGGGCCACGGGCCACCAGCGAGGCGAGGACGTGGCCATCACGGTGACACAAAACAACTCGGGTGCCGGAGGAGTGAGATGCTGCTTTTTCCATTCCCTTTTCTTCCCCTGGGAGAAGGGCTTTGCTGGCACCCGTGTCACCCGCCGCCACTGGGCGAGGAATGGCACGTGCCACCCAAACCCCCCCTCTCCTCCAGCTCAGCACCCCGGTAAACCCTGCCTCTGCTCAGCCCCGGGCGCTGGCGTCCGCAGCAGCTTCTTTCTGCGGTGGCAGGAGGTGAAGCAGAGCCGGGGCCGCCGCTGCCGTCCCCCCGGTGCATCCCCCGGCAAGATGTGGGGACAACGCACCAGCAGCCGGTGTGCCAGGAGCCGGGGTGCTCCCAGCAGCTGCCGCGGCGGCGTGGCCAGGATTGCCTGCCGCCTCTCCCGCCGCAGTGCCAGCGAGGACCCTGGCGAGGGTCTCCGATGGGGTAAATCCTCACAGCTCCCCCAGCTTCAGCCCTGCTTCGGGATGGCTGAGGATCGGACCCCCCCCCTTAAAACACAACCCTTGCTCTAACGCCGCTGGCGTTACCCAGGAATGTGCTGTAGGTACCTCCAAAGTGCCTTAATCCCACCTCCAGTGTGTGCCTGTTTGCGGCGGCGTTGCTCTTCGTGCTGCAAAACCAGGCTGGGCTGTTTTCCTTCCATCCCCGGGGCTGATCTCAGTCCCCGTTTCACATCCCTGCGCTGCTGGGGTGCTCAGAGATATTTCCAGCCAGCCCCTTGCTTAAAACCATCCTCTTTCTTTTTTTCCCCCCGGGTTTTAGGCGTCGAGTCAGCAATCTGGCCAGCTTTCCAGGACGACGATAAGATTTTCATTACCTTTGTGCTTGGAGCCCCGACGCCGCATCTCTCTGCGCTGGTTCTTCTGGCCGTGGTTGATCTACCCCCAGCCCACGGCAAGCGACCCCCCCTGCCTGCTCCTGCCAGATGTGCCACAGCTGCAGCGGATCCAGCCAGGCCCAGCGAGGGATCGATGCTCACCTACCCGCTGCGTGCAAGAAGGGTGTCACCTCGGGCTCAAATGACAGCCAACCCCGTCTTTGTCCCCGAAGATTTTATTCCCTTAGCCCCACAGCCCTCACTGCAGGCAGTGTGTGAGCAGGCAGGGCTCTCCTGGCACGCTTGCCGAGCACCCCGGCCACCAGACATCTTACGAGCACGGTCCCCAGGTCCTGCTCCCCCCACGGATCCTCCTGCCCTTGCTGGCTCCTGCACGGCTCATTTTGGACAAGAAGCGGCCGCTTTCCCGGTCCCCGGCTCCCGCCAGCGACCTCGGAGCAGGCTACAGCTTGGGACAGCAGAACGGTGCTTCCGGAACAACTGAATCTCCGATGCCTTCGAGGAGGTTGTCCCATTGATTGAATTCCTCTTCCAGGTCTGAGCGGGGCAGAGACGGTGACCGGATTACTACAACGATTATCAGCCCGGCTCCAGGCGTAAAGAAGGAGCAGTCACCAGACACGTTTGCTTTGTGCAAGGGGATGGGAAGCACCAAAGCCAAGCCCAGCGAGGCAGCGGCCACCCCGCAGCCCCCCCGCGAGCGGGGGAGCTCTCGTTGCCCTCCCGAGCCCCCGGCCAATGTGCCCTTCACCCCGCGCCGTACTGAGATGCCTTTGCAGGAAGGCCAGAGCCGCCCGGCTGGTGATGTCCAGACCCTTGTAGGGGTTGAGGGTCCCCCTCGCTCTGAAGATGAGGTTCATGAGCTTCCCAGTGAGAAAGGTGAAGTCGGTCTGGCTCTGGTGCACGGATCCCCTGGGAGAGGGAAGGGATCTGCTTCACTGGGAGCTGGGGAGAGGTCCTCCTGCCGGGACACAGCTCGTAGGTGCTCCCAGGAGGGGCACTGCCGGGTGGGTGTCCCCAGCCCCTGACTCACAGGACAGTTATAATCTTCGTCTGGCTGTTTCTGGAGCTCAGCCTCTTCATTTTGGCGACGCTTTCTGGCGTCTGGAACTTCTCGGTGTTGATGAAGAGCACGGGCTTGGGCACCTCCGGGTACAGCGCGTTCTCCAGGGGGAACATCCAGGCGTCGAGAGCCACCGCGCACCTGCAGCAGGATGGATGCCCAGTGCTGCCGCCCACACCACGGCTTCCCTTCCCACTGGGATGAGCTATGTGTCCCCGGACCTTCCCACAGCTCCTTGTCCCTCCTGCCGTTTACCTGAAACTGGGCTCTTTCACCAAGGCCAGCACCGCTGTCACCCCGCCAAAGGAATGGCCCATGACGGCGACTTTGGTCAGATCAGTGCTGTCCTGCAAAAAGGAGGAGGCTGAGGAACCCGTGCCCAAACCTCGCTGCAGGAGGTCCCTAATTAGGGAAGGAAAAGCCAAAGGAAGATCAGCAAAGTGACACTGCTCTGCCCTCTGCAAGGGACACCGTGTCCCGTTTTCACCACCGGTGCAACAGGACCCAGCTCCCCCGGAATGCACAGGGGAGAGAAAGGAGAAAAGAGGCACCAAGAACCCGAGACGTGGAAGGCTGTGACTCTGCACAGACCCTGCTTGTCCCAGGAGGAAAAGTCTCACACACAGCAAGGACTGATCGTGCCAGCAAAGGGCACCCGGAACCCCCCATCAGCCAAACGGCCCCCCTGGCTCGTCCTTCAGCACAGACAGACCCAGATACCTTCAGCACGGAGAGATCGAAGTCCTGGGGAAGGACGTTGGGGACAGATTTACTGCTGCTGATGTCCTCGAAGAGCCGGAGTGCTCGCACGCATTCCTCCGCTCTCTGATGAACCTGGGAGTGAGAGTTGCCCCTTCCCCGGTTATCCCAGCTCCTCCACCCCACAAATTTGGGGCCAGATCCTCCCCCCGACATCCACCCACGTTTGTCCCTCCAAAACTGCAGCGCTCAGTGGGGGTTTTCCCTGGATTATGGCAAATGTAACTGCAAGCGAGAGGCTGCACCAACGCGGCTCCTGCGGGGATGCAGTGAATTTATTGGAATGGTTTCTTTTTTTGTTTGTTTTTAATTCAGTTTTTCTGATAGCACAGACAGCTGGAGATGAGCAAAAGACCCCTGCTCCAGGGAGGAAGCGGCGGGGCGTGCAGGGGAGGGAGAACCCCCTTTCCCCACCCGCTGCCCCCCGGCCGAGACTGCTGGAACCATCCATCGGAGCAAACACCCGTGGGGAGCGCAGACCCCCCCGTCCCACCCCAGCTGCCAGGAGCAAACCTGGACGTCACCCTGGAACCCAGCTCAGGGGTTCCATCCAGGAGCAGCTCAAAAGCCCAAATCACCTATTCAGGGGGGAGGAAGCCCTGACCTGGAGCCACTTTGGGACCGCTCCTCTGCTGCCCTAAGGACAGGAATTCTGTTGGCTGTGCACATTTAATGACCTTCCCCCAAGGCAACAAGTGACAAAAAACTCAGATGAAAACTGCTCCCTCTAACACAGATGCCATAACTGAGGCTGACCTGGCAACCATTTCCCTCTATTTATAATTTATTTGTTATTCACCCTCAACATTTACGCTCATGGGTTCATCTTTGTAGGAAAATTGTTTCCCTTGTTTGTGCAGTGTGCCGTGACACAGAGCATACACAAAAATAAGAGGCTGGGAGGTGGTTTAAGACTGCCAAAAGCGCCTCCAACCACTATGTTTCCTAGAGAGCTTTTCTACAACAAATCTTGACTTGATGTTGTGCTTTTAAACAGGGCAGAATCAAGCAGGGGGGATCCAGGCTCGGCAGGAAACCTTCCTGCTCCCCAGCAAGCAGCTGTCCGGGGTAATCCCAGAGAGACAAAAAATCAGAGCGTGAACAAATCCAGCAGCCGGTCCGGAGCCCTGCCAGCCCGCAGCACTGGGCTGGGCAGAAAGCCCGTTTGTCCCCGGGGTGTGGGTGACATTAAGTATTGGGGGATGTGGCAAAGCCCAGCCTGGCTCCTGCCAGGGTCAGCTGGAGCCAGACAGGGACCCCATGAATCAGAGATGAACAGGCTGAACGGATTTTTCTCTGCTTCCAAGGAGAAAGCTCAGCCCCAGCATCACAGCGGTACATGTTTGGGAAGGGCAGGAGACCCCAGGGATGGGGGGACAGCTTGGCTTGCAGGAGGGATTCCATGCCTCCTGCGTTGCCCACCCTTAACTTCCCACTCTGGTACCTGCTTGTTTCGGAAATAAAATTCCTTCTGCCCTTGGGGGACCTGTTGGTAGGGGATCCACTCCTCTCTCCCAGCCTCCGCCGTGCAGAAATACGTCGCGGAGGCAGAATGGTCCCTGCAGCAGCAGGAGGGCAGGCAGCCACGTCGTGGGGGGCACCAGCAGCTCCGCCGGGGGCACGATGCCCTGCCAGCCCCGTCACGGCTGCCGAAATCGTCGGGGACCGGGGCACCCACCTGTGCTCCAGCGCTGCCACCACAAAGCCCCAGGACGCCAGCTCCGAGCAGACCGAGGAGTACAGGGTCCTGCAAGGGAGCCGGGGAGGGGAGCGGGGTCAGGGCTGCGCTGCCAGGTCTGAGAAGGGCCACGGGGGATCCAGGACACCCATGTCCCCATCCCGGCTCAGCACCCCCAGCTCCACTCGGGGCTCATCCTACCGAAAGGCTCCCAGGCCGTGGGAGAAGATGATCAGTGGGTACCCGCTGCTGCAGGGCTTGAAAGGCCCGTTCCAGCTCACCGGCACTCTGCAGGAGCCTGCAGGGAAGAGAAACCCCCCAGGAAAAGGGGGGAACACGGGCAGCGGGGTGCTGCCGCTGCGGCAGGTCCCCGCTCGGGTCCATCCCCGCCTGTAGCATCCACCCGGCTGCCCCAAGCACAGGGGCCTTGAACCCCACGAAGGGATTGGGTCCCTAAGGACTGGGGGAGCACCCAGGGTGGGGGATGTGGTACCCACCACCCCCTTACCAATGGCGACGCTGAGCAGGAGCGCGCACCAGCGCCGGCTGCGGCCGGTGAAGTCGGCCAGCCCACCGCAGTACTCGTAGCGCGGGATCCAGAGCGGGTGCTCGGCCCCTGCCCGGGGCAGGCAGGGGTAGAAGAGGCGGAGGAAGAGCCCCTGGGGGAGAGAGGGAAAGGGGGGGACACGGCGGGGGACAGCACAGAGCAGCAGTGGGCATGTCCTTGGTGAGCTCAGCTCTTGCAAAACCCGGCTGGCTGCAGCCACCCTGCTGTGCAGGGAAGCCTGTCCCCATCCCTGTTCCCATCCCCATCCCCATCCCTGTCCCCATCCCTGTCCCCATCCCCATCCCTGTCCCCATCCCCATCCCCATCCCCATCCCCATCCCCATCCCCATCCCTGTCCCCATCCCTGTCCCCATCCCCATCCCTGTCCCCGTCCCCATCCTTGTCCCCATCCCTGTCCCGGTCCCTGTCCCCATCCCCATTCCCTTCCCCATCCCCATCCCCATTCCTGTCCCCATCCTCATCCCCATCCCTGTCCTGGTCCCTGTCCCCGTCCCCATCCTTGTCCCCATACCTGTCCCCATCCCTGTCCCGGTCCCTGTCCCCATCCCCATCCCTGTCCCCATCCCTGTCCCGGTCCCTGTCCCCATCCCTGTCCCCATTCCCATCCCTGTCCCCATTCCCATCCCCATCCCCATCCCTGTCCCCATCCCCATCCCCGTCCCGGTCCCTGTCCCTGTCCCCATCCTTGTCCCCATGCCGTACCTGCCGCGTGTGTCCCACCATGACATCCGTGCAGCCCACCTGGTGAGGTCCCTTCCCCAAGGGCAGCGCCAGTGACTGCATCCCCCCCATGTCGCCGAGTCTGGGCAGAGGCAAGGGGTCAGCATCCGTCCCCCGCCCCAGGGAACCCCGACTTGGTCCCTCCTTCTTCCCCCACCCCTCTCCCATTTCCCAGACCCCCAGGATCCACCCCCCCAAGGCTGAGATGTGCCTGATGGGGCAGGTGGGGGTCAGCAGGACCCGCCCCATGGCCTCCCTTGCTGTGGGGCAGCCATCCCCATCGCTGTTGCCCCCCCTTGCACCGCGGGGGGGTGCTGAGGGTTGGGGTGTGGGGGGGGAGTGGGAGGGCCAGACACCCCCAAGCTGGGGGTGGCACAGGGAGGGGCGCGAGCAAGGGGTCAGTGCAGGGGTGACATGGGTGTCTGCCAGCCCTCAGCACCCACTGAAGCCACTGAGGACACATGGGGGGACAGAGCCCGGCACCCCCCCCCCCCCCCCCCCCCCCCCAAAATGCAGAACTACAGCTCCCAGCAGCCCCCGGGGCTGGAGAACTACAACTCCCAGCATGTCCCTGGGCTGGGACTACACCTCCCAGTATGCGCTGGGTCCCCGGACTACACCTCCCGGTATCCCCAGCAGAACTACAGATCCCAGTGCTTCCCAGTACCCGTTTCCCAGAGCCCTACCCGCAGCCCCCAGTGCTCCCCCCAGCGCTCCCTGTTATCATCGCAGCTTCCAGTACCTCTCCCAGCTCCACCCCCAGCTCCCACTACCCTCGGTTACCCCCGCACCTCCCAGTGCTCCCCAAGAGCTCCCAGTGCCCCCACCCAAGGTCCCAGGGCTCCCCCAGCTCCCCGTTTCCCTCTGTGCCCATCAACTCCCACCACCCAGTCCCCCCCCTCCCCAGGTCCCAACGCACTCACCGGTGCACCGGGTCGCAGGTCCCAGCACGCACCGGTGCGCCCAGCAGCACCGCTCCCGGTGCCACCTGTACACGTGGACTACAGCTCCCAGTAGCCACCAGTACGGGACGCAGCTCCCAGTGCCACCAATGCAAGATGCAGCTCCCAGTCCCACCAGTCCAAAATCACAGCTCCCAGTGCCACCAAGATGCAGCTCCTGGTCCCACCAGTCCAAAATCACAGCTCCCAGTGCCACCAGTACAAGATGCAGCTCCCAGTCCCACCAGTCCAAAATCACAGCTCCCAGTGCCACCAAGATGCAGCTCCCAGTCCCACCAGTCCAAAATCACAGCTCCCAGTGCCACCAAGATGCAGCTCCCAGTCCCACCAGTCCAAAATCACAGCTCCCAGTGCCACCAGTACAAGATGCAGCTCCCAGTCCCACCAGTCCAAAATCACAGCTCCCAGTGCCACCAAGATGCAGCTCCTGGTCCCACCAGTCCAAAATCACAGCTCCCAGTGCCACCAAGATGCAGCTCCCGGTCCCACCAGTCCAAAATCACAGCTCCCAGTGCCACCAAGATGCAGCTCCCGGTCCCACCAGTCCAAAATCACAGCTCCCAGTGCCACCAGTACAAGATGCAGCTCCTGGTCCCACCAGTCCAAAATCACAGCTCCCAGTGCCACCAGTACAAGATGCAGCTCCCAGTCCCACCAGTCCAAAATCACAGCTCCCAGTGCCACCAAGATGCAGCTCCCGGTCCCACCAGTCCAAAATCACAGCTCCCAGTGCCACCAAGATGCAGCTCCTGGTCCCACCAGTCCAAAATCACAGCTCCCAGTGCCACCAAGATGCAGCTCCCGGTCCCACCAGTCCAAAATCACAGCTCCCCGTGCCACCAAGATGCAGCTCCCGGTCCCACCAGTCCAAAATCACAGCTCCCAGTGCCACCAAGATGCAGCTCCCGGTCCCACCAGTCCAAAATCACAGCTCCCAGTGCCACCAGTACAAGATGCAGCTCCTGGTCCCACCAGTCCAAAATCACAGCTCCCAGTGCCACCAAGATGCAGCTCCCGGTCCCACCAGTCCAAAATCACAGCTCCCAGTGCCACCAAGATGCAGCTCCTGGTCCCACCAGTCCAAAATCACAGCTCCCAGTGCCACCAAGATGCAGCTCCCGGTCCCACCAGTCCAAAATCACAGCTCCCAGTGCCACCAGTACAAGATGCAGCTCCCGGTCCCACCAGTCCAAAATCACAGCTCCCAGTGCCACCAGTACAAGATGCAGCTCCTGGTCCCACCAGTCCAAAATCACAGCTCCCAGTGCCACCAAGATGCAGCTCCCGGTCCCACCAGTCCAAAATCACAGCTCCCAGTGCCACCAAGATGCAGCTCCCGGTCCCACCAGTCCAAAATCACAGCTCCCAGTGCCACCAAGATGCAGCTCCCGGTCCCACCAGTCCAAAATCACAGCTCCCAGTGCCACCAAGATGCAGCTCCTGGTCCCACCAGTCCAAAATCACAGCTCCCAGTGCCACCAGTACAAGATGCAGCTCCCGGTCCCACCAGTCCAAAATCACAGCTCCCAGTGCCACCAAGATGCAGCTCCTGGTCCCACCAGTCCAAAATCACAGCTCCCAGTGCCACCAGTACAAGATGCAGCTCCCAGTCCCACCAGTCCAAAATCACAGCTCCCAGTGCCACCAAGATGCAGCTCCTGGTCCCACCAGTCCAAAATCACAGCTCCCAGTGCCACCAGTACAAGATGCAGCTCCCGGTCCCACCAGTCCAAAATCACAGCTCCCAGTGCCACCAGTACAAGATGCAGCTCCCAGTCCCACCAGTCCAAAATCACAGCTCCCAGTGCCACCAAGATGCAGCTCCTGGTCCCACCAGTCCAAAATCACAGCTCCCAGTGCCACCAGTACAAGATGCAGCTCCCGGTCCCACCAGTCCAAAATCACAGCTCCCAGTTCCACCAGTACAAGATGCAGCTCCCGGTCCCAGCAGCATAAAACCACAGCTCCCAGTGCTCCAAGTGCAGGGCACAACCCCAGTCCCCCCATAGCAGCCGCAGCCCCTCCGTGGGGGGGGCCCATGCCCACGGGCAGCACCCTGACCCTGGGGCTGCCCTGTCCCTGGCTGCACCCCAGTTGGATTCCTATCCCCATGGGGCTGGGGACTGTCCCCGTGTCCCCCCCGGAGGTGCCCGGGGGCTCCTGCTGACCGGTTAATCCGCTTTTTGCAGCTAAAGCAACCTAGGGCCCACAGTAATCCCCTCCGTGGCCGGGGATTAACTCCCCACAGGGCCTAGCCGGCTGGGCCCGACAAATAAATATCTAAGATTTGGTAAAAAACATCCCTACCAAGCTCCCGTGCACACAGCCCCTCACCCCGGGTGCGTGGGGAAACTGAGGCACAGATTTGCACTGAATGGGGTTGTCACTCTGCGTGTTGACACCCTGCTCTGTGCTGAGCACCCAACCTGCCCGGAGGCTGAGGCCGGCCAGGTTGTTACACCCATGGATGGGATCCAGCACCCTGTCGCGTCCCGGCTTGCCCGGCCGGCAGGGCAGGGCGGAGGGTGGCGGGGGATGCCAGGGCAGGGTGGGAGAGGCGAGCCCCGACCTGCTCCTGCTGCCCGCTCCAGCCCACGCCTGGCTCCCCACAGTGGGGTTCAGCCCTTCCCCAGCACCCCCACATCCTCCCAGCAAAGGGTCCTGATGGGATGCTGGGAGCGGCTCAAGGCAGCGGGGCCGGCAGCTTGGGGCCATCCCACTCCCACCTCCTATGGAGCCCTGCGAGACGGGGGTGTTGGGGTCCCACGGGGGAACTCCTGGGGTCCTGGTTATGTGGGTGTTGGTGGAGGAGCACTGGGAACAGTTGGCGTTGATGCTGACCCCCACGCCGGCCTCGCGTGGGATTTGCGGGGGCTTTCTCAGCTCCCGTTCCAACCACCCCGCTGTGGGTGGCTGATTTGGGGTGGGCAGGGGGTGTCAGGCCGGGCTGGGACCCCCATCTCTACCCCGTGGGAGGGTGAACCCCACAGTCCACCACGGGCTTTGTGCCGTGGCCCCGGCTCCGGTGCGTGGGTGGGTTTGATTTAGTCAAGAGCTGTCAGGCTGCGGCGGGGTCTGGGGGTCGCTGAAGCCCCTGGGGGGGGGGTGGTGGTGTTGTCACTGGAGCACAGGGGTGACATCGGAGCCCAGGGGTGTCACGGGTGGAGGTGGCCTCAGCTGTGTTTCCCTGCTCCCCAGTGTGACCCCACTGCCGCCCTAGAACCCCAAGGTTCCCCGGGGTGCTCCGGGGCACTGAGGGGAGGCGAAGGGACCCGCACCCGAGGGCTGACACCCCCTCCGGGCTCGCCGGCACCGGGCGCCCCCGCGAGCAAGGACGCGAGTGGGGACACGGGACGTGGGACAGTCCCCGCGTGGGGTCCCACAGAGGGCGGGCGGCGCTGGGACCCTGCGGAGCCCCGGCCTCCGCCCCGGGGCACACCCCCTCCCCTCTGCGGCGCGCGGGGAACCCCCCGTCCCACGTGGGAGCGCTGGGGGCGGCTGAGCGCGGCCAATAGGAAGGCGCCGCAGGGGGCAGGTGGGAGGGCCTCCGCGGGGCGTGGCCGCTGTTGGGGTGTGGGCCACGCCCCCGGGTGAGCGGGCGGCCAATGGGGAAGCGAGTGGGCGGGGCCAAGGGCGAATGTTGTGAGGGTGGGAATAGGGCGCGGTGGAACAGATGCGGGCGGGGCGGGGCACGGAGCGTGGCGGGGGGGGGGAAGGACCACGGGGGGCGATGGATCACGGGGGGAGGATGGACCACGGAGGGGGGATGGACCACGGGGACCGGCCGGGCTGCGGGGCCGGGCACTGAGCGGGGGAGAGACGGGCAGGCAAGGGGACAGGGGGACAGCCAGCCGCGGCGGGGGGGACGGACAGACGGACAAGGGACAGGCAACCCCGGGGACACACGCACAGATAGACACACGGGGACAGACAGACGGACAGGGGACAGCCAGCCCCTGGGAGAGGGGGGGGACACAGGCACAGGCGGCCTGACGCGGAGGACGGACAGCCACAAGGGGTGCAGGCAGCCGAGGGGGTGGGACACGGGGACAGACAGCGCAACGCACGGACAGACGGACAAGGTGGCAAGGGGACACACACACACCGCACCAGCCAGGAGCACCCCCAGGGAGCGGGGGACCCCCGGGACCGGGGCTGTGTGGAGCCTCCCCGCGGGGACACCGGGATCGCGCAGCAGGACCGCTGCTCCGCGGGCGGGGAGAGCCCCGGGGGGGGCCACGGCGGCTCCCCCGCCGCCTTCCCCCACCGGGGATGCAGCCCGGAGCCGCGGGGAGCCGCGGAGAGAGATTTCGGGGCACAACATCCCCAAACCCACCTGGGACTGCGTGTCCCCACAGGTAATGCGGGGACGGGGAAGGCGGGGAAGGAGCAGGTTGGGGAGAGATGGGGGCTCCGGTGGGAGTGGGGGGTTTTATTCCCACTCTGGGGAGGGGGGGTCCCGCCGCGAGGGGGACGTGGGGAGCCACTTGCGGTGACACGGTTGGCGGCGGCAGGACGGCGATGGCGCGACCTCTCCCCTTCCCCAGGGATTTGAAGCTGGGCCAAGCGGTGGTGGAAATGTCATTGTCACGGCACGGGGGCCCAGCGAAGTGAAGGCTGCGCGGCTGGGAAGGGAGCGGGACGCCGCCGCACCGAGCTCCACTCCACAGCCCCGCAGGGGGACAGCCCCAAAAAGCCAGCGCAGCCCTGGTCGGGGGGAGCAGCCAGGGGACCGTGGGGTTCATCTGCGCTCCCACGGGCTCCCACAGGACAATACCTGGGGGCCAGGAGCCACCCCACTGCCCACTTGGCGTTTGGGACGTTGGCCTCTCGACCGGACTCTGACACCTATCTGAGCCCGATGAGGAGCCGGGGCTGCGCATGAACCTATGCAGACCAGGAAGAAATACATTTTCCTGACTTTCCTCGCCTCTTGGCTCCTGCTTTTCTTTGGAGGGGACCAGCTGCGCCGTTTCACTTTCTTTTCTGGGAGGAAAGCCGAAGCCCGGAGGAATTGGCCCCACTGGACGGATCAGTCCCTCCTCAAAAGCTTTGCAGATCTTGAGGAGCTCCAAAGCGATGGAGACCCCTCACTGCCATCACCCCGGGAGCGGCGGGCAGCGCGGCTGAGCGTCTACAAGAACAGCAGATGCCGGATGGAAACCTGCTTCGATTTCTCCAGGTGCGAGAAGCACGGCTTCAAAGTCTTCACCTACCCCCGGGAGAGGGATCAGCCCCTCTCGGAGAGTTACGGCAAAATCCTCGCCTCCATCGAGCGCTCTCGCTACTACACCCCGAACCCCGAGGAAGCCTGCCTCTTCATCCTCAGCATCGACACGCTGGACCGCGACCATCTCTCGGGTCAATACGTCCGTAACGTCGATGAGAAAATCCGCAGCTTCCCGCTCTGGAATGGCGGCCGTAATCACCTCATCTTCAACCTCTACTCGGGCACCTGGCCCAATTACACCGAGGACCTGGGTTTTGATATCGGCCAGGCCATCCTGGCCAAAGCCAGCTTCTACACCGAGAGCTTCAGACCCGGCTTCGACATCTCCATCCCCCTTTTCCCCAAGGACCACCCGCAGCGCGGCGGGGAGAAGGGGTGGTTGTACCAGGACTCGATCCCTCCGAAAAAGAAATACTTGTTGGTGTTCAAGGGGAAGCGGTACCTGACCGGCATCGGCTCCGGCACCAGGAACGCGCTGCACCACATCCACAACGGGAAGGACATCATCTCGCTCACCACCTGCAAGCACGGCAAGGACTGGGAGAAGCACAAGGACACGCGCTGCGACAAGGATAACGTCGACTACGAAAAGTGAGTGGGAGACGGGGTGGGAAAGGGGGGTCTGGTGGGGCCCACACAGCCCACAGATGTTCCTGCTCCTCTGCGGGGTGCAGCCGTGCCCGTCTGTGGTGGCTGGACCTCCAGATGTGGGCAGAGAGGAAAGTTTTGGGCTCTCCCGACGTAGATGAGGGTTTCATTTCCATAGTGGGGAGCGAGGCGCTGATTGTTCAGGGCTTTCCTGCTCTGTATTAAAGTTCAAGTAATCTGGCGAGAGCGGCTCTTATCTGCAATCACCGTGGCTGCCTCTAATACGATTTCCCTTTTTCCTACCGCTGATGAATGATGCTTTTCTTCTCCCCCCTCCTGCCCTCCCCTAACATAAACGTTTCTCTTGGAGATGAGCCTGAAACATCCCCCCCTCACTGGCTCCACTAAAAATCCCGCAAAACTGGCGGGTCCTTGGGCATCCCGGTGTGGGGAGCCCCGAGCTCACCTGGATGGGGTGGGGTGAAGCGGGGGGGGTCCATCTCCATCCCCCCTTGCAAATGGGGATGGCAGCAGCAGTGTGTGATGGTCCTTAGTGGGAAAACGGGGTGGGGGACACAATGTTTTGTGAGTTTGGGGGGCTCCATGTTGAGAGGATGCACGCCAGGTCCTCACCTCCCCGTCCTGCTGCTTGGGACCCATCACCAGCTTCCCAGTCCCAGGGCTGGTAAGCACAGACCCCGTCCCACTGCTTGGGGACATCCCGCAGCCACCCAGCTGGAGAGCAGATGGGGAGAGGCCACGTTGGGCATCATCCTCAAAGCGTCTTAGGAGGTGCTGAGAGGTAAAAGTGGAGCTGGGGTGCTGTGGGCACCGGGATTAGCCGGGGCTTTGGGGTGGCTCAAGCACTGCATGGCCCCATCGCGTGGTGCCACCAGCCCCGTGGGGTCAGCCCCTGCATTGGAGCATTTTTGGGGATGGGGTGTCGTCGCAGGACGGTGGGAGATGCCGTGGGGTGGTGGGACGGAGCGGGGGGTGAAGGTCAGCCCCACGCTGTGCCAAGAGCTGGTGGGATGGGAAATCCCCCTCCCACCCAGCCCAGGTAATTCCCTAATGCTGTTTGCAAGTACAGGGAGATTTACACCTCGCTTGGGGCAGCTTTAGGCAGCAGATAGATGAGAAAACACGTGGCACAGGGCAGCATGCTCGTGCGTGACCCCGAGCTTCTGCCATCCTGCTTGTCCCGTGGGACACCCGGGCAAAAAGCCATCGGTGTCTCCATCGCACCAGGCCAGCTCTGCTGTGGGGGACTTACGGCTGCTTGCCCCAGGATGTCCCCAGACCCGGAGGTGGGACAGTGGCAGAGTGACGATGGGGACAGGCCAGTGGGGAGAAGACACACTATGGTTGGCAAAGTGAGGACCTAGCTGCCCAGTTTGCCCAGTGCACTGGAGACATCCCCGTTGGGCAGTGCGGGGAGCAGAGGAAGGCCTTGCCAGGGGCTCCATCACCCTCCTCACACCCGGGGGGCTGCCGAAAACAAACCGGTTCTGTGCCCGGATAAAGGGCAGCTTGTAGCACCGCCGCGGTCCGGCCCTGCTGTGGGCTGCCCCGGGTTTAAAGCAATCCAAGAGGATTGGGAAAGGCTCTCTGGAGCCGACGGGTCCCCCGGCAGCACCGTGCCTGGCCGGAGCCACGGAGGGGCCGGGTGGAGGGAGCACGGCGGGCGCCCGTCCCGGCTCCTAACAAAACAAGGAAGCCCTGACGGCGTGATTACCCGGAAACCGCAGCGCGTCAGGAGCAAAGTATTTCCATCGGGAGGTTTTGGCCCCGCAGCCCGGCCGGCGCCAGCCTCCCCGCGACGGCCGCCTGCGAGGGGAGGCTGCCCGCAGCCGCTCTGCCCCTCTGGGACACATCCTGCTGCCCACCCAGCCCCAGCAGTGGGAATGGACCCGCTGGAGGTGCTGGGGGTCACAGCTGGGTTTGGGGTCCCCAATGGAGCGGGTGGCAGCGGGGCTGCCCCAAGGGCAAGCACTGGCGGTGTCCGGCCCTGGGGATGTGGCTGTCACTGTTGTGGTTTCACAGGGGGGTCTGGGTCCTGTTTGAGCCGCCCTCGCCCCTCCGGCAGCTCACTGGGCCAGGAGTTGGGGTGTTAACGAGATGGGGTGCACTAATGGGGCTTTCAGCATCCATTGGAGATGTTGGGGTGGTTCATCCGGAGGTGGGTTTCGATTGTAAAACTCTGTGCATTGGCATTGGGGCCAATTTCCCACATCCAGCAACACCAGGATGCTCCAGGGTGCTCCAGCACCTGTGGAGGGGAAACGTCCTCAAGCCCCAGGTTCAGACCGGCCCCACGTCCCTACCACAGGGAGACCCTTCCCCCTTGGGGACCAGCACATTTCAAGCAGCCCGTTGGCCTTGCAGCCCCCCACAGCTGGACCACGCACGTCCCCCCCAGCCCATCCAGGACCTGGCTGCCCCGTCCCTCCCTTCCTGAGGGCAGGAACAGACGGGGTCTGTCCTGACCTAAAGTCAATATTGGATTTTCCGGCGCGGTCGCAGGGACCCGGCAGCAGACGCGCCTCTCCCCACCAGCCGCACAGAAGGGGCTTTCATAGCCCCGCAGTGTGAGCCCAGCTGGGTGGGGGGGACACTGCCTGCACCCCTGCAGACAGCCGGCCCTCTGCCCCCCCCCCCCCCCGAAATGCTGCCAGGGCAGGCAGGGCTGGTCCTGCCCAACAAGCTTGGGCACGGCAGAGGAGTTGCCGCAGTTTCGGGCTCGGGGGTTTGGGCGCTGGCTTTGCTTGGGGTTTCATTACAGGTGGGTGGAGGGAGCTGGGTAACACCTTCAAAGAGCAGTGGGGTCCTATCCTTGCCCCCCCCCTCTTTAAGCGATGCCCGGACACATCCCTCCATCACCCAGGACATCTCTGCTCCACCATCCCCACAGAGCCGGGGCTGTTCAGAGACAAAATCAGCCCGGAGCAATCCTAACACTGCCCTGGGCTGGTCCTGTGCCCCCCCGAGAGGGAAGCTCAGCCTTACTGGGTGCCAGCAAGACCCCCCTGGGATGCTCATAGGTAGGTGGGGGCCGTACCTGACCCCCACCCCATCTCCCATCCCAGGTTTGACTACCAGGAGCTGCTGCACAACTCCACCTTCTGCATCGTGCCCCGGGGCAGGCGCTTGGGTTCTTTCCGCTTCTTGGAGGCACTGCAGGTACGGGGCGGGTTGGGGGGAACAGGGGAACCCCCTGCCCGGGAGCTGGGGGTCCCCGTTCCACGTGGTGTGGGGTCCCGCCGCAGGCTGCCTGCATCCCCGTGCTGCTGAGCGACGGCTGGGAGCTGCCCTTCGCCGAAGCCATCGACTGGGGCAAAGCTGCTGTTGTGGGAAATGAGAGGCTGCTGCTACAGGTATGGAGGCCAGATCCTGCCCCACGCTGGACACGAGGGACCCCCCACTGTTGATGCCAGGGGTGGTGGAGCCCCCAGACAAGCTTGGGGGTGAAACCTCTGCAGCTGAGCCCGGCAGCTCTCCTGTGGGCAGATACAGGGGGGTTCCCTCCAGCCCAGAGCGGGGGTCCAATCCCAGCCACAACCTTGGGACATCACGCGTTTTCGGGGGGTGCTGAGCATCTCCCCACACCCAAAGCCCTTGGGGGACCTGGGCCAGATCCTGCTCCAGGGAGGGGAGGTGACACAGCTGCAGCGGGGCGGTGGCACGGCACCCTTGGCCATGGGGTGTCCCCTCGGGATGGTGTGGAGGTGGTGGGGGCAAGACAACCCTGTTGGGAGGCTGGAGGGGGGGTGAGGTGAGAAACCAGCCCCCACCACCACCCCCCCCCCCACCGCCACAGATCCCCTCCGCCGTCCGCTGCATCCACCCGGAGCGCGTGCTGGCTTTCCAGCAGCAAACCCAGTTCCTGTGGGACGCGTACTTCTCCTCCGTCGACAAGATTGTGCACACTACGCTGGAGGTGAGCTCCCCCACGCCCCCCCCCCCCGGCCCTGAGCTCTTACCCCCACCCCCCTGCCAAACCCCGGGGTCACAACCAGGGTGCTGAGAGCATCTCTCCGGCCTCTGGCAGATCATCAGGGACCGGCTGCTCCCGCACCGCTCCCGCTCCCGCTTCCTCTGGAACGCACCGCCCGGGGGGCTCTTGGCTCTGCCTGACTTTTCCACCCACCTCAGGGACTTTCCCTTCTACTACCTGCAGCACGGTAGGACCCCGCCTGCCCCAGCTGAGCACGGCAAACTCAGTGCATGCCACAACACCCATCCTCTCCTCTGCCTTTTTCAGGCTCCAGCCCCTCCAAGAAGTTCACAGCTTTCATCCGGGCCATCTCGCCGGTGGGGTCCTCCTCCCAGCCCATCCTCAGGCTGATCCAGGCCGTCTCCGGATCCCAGTACTGTGCTCAGGTGGGGGAGCTGAGCCCTGGGATGGAGTGGGAGGGATGGAGCAGAGTTCCGTGGGCTGGGAAGGACCAGGGAGGGGTTGGAGGTAGGAGGGGGTGGCTGGTGGTGTCACCTTTGGGTGGGCAGAGCTGTCTCCCCAGCCCACCAGTGTGGAGGTGGGACCACCTGTGGGTTTATGCTGGTCCAAACCACCATGAGATGGTTTTGGGGAGAGCTGGGCTGGATCGGATCCTGCTGTAGAGCTGGGGCAGGGGAGGGGGCTCAGCCCTGGCCACCCCACAAACACCGACGCACCAGTGCACCCCGAGGGGGTCAGCCTGGACATGCTGGTCCTTCCCCCTGCAGATCCTGGTGCTGTGGAGCTGTGAGAAGCCGCCGCCGCCGAGTGGGAAATGGCCCCAGACCACCGTGCCTCTGACCATCATCCAGGGCAGGGGGAAGGTGAGAGGAGCCGGGATGCAGGCAGGGAGCTGGGATATGGGCAGGGAACTGGGATGCAGGCAGGGAGCTGGGATGCAGGCAGGGAGCCCCGGGATGCGGGCAGGGAGCTGGGATGCAGGCAGGGAGCCCTGGGATGCCGGCAGGGAGCTGGGATGCAGGCAGGGAGCCCCGGGATGCGGGCAGGGAGCTGGGATGCAATCAGGGAGCCCTGGGATGCTGGCAGGGAGCTGGGATGCAGGCAGGGAGCCCCGGGATGCGGGCAGGGAGCTGGGATGCCGGCAGGGAACTGGGATGCCGGCAGGGAGCTGAGATGCAGGCAGGGAACTGGGATGCAGGCAGGGAGCTGGGATGCAGGCAGGGAGCTGGGATGCAGGCAGGGAACTGGGGCACCCACCCCATGGCCCATCCCAACCTGATTATTCCACTCTGTAGCTCAGCGACCGCTTCTTCCCCTACGCGGCCATCCAGACGGACGCCGTGCTGAGCCTGGACGAGCACACCAGCCTCTCAACCAGCGAGGTGAGGCCGTGGGCACTGCACTCCCCAGCCCCGTGCCGAGCCAGGAAGGATGCTCAGTGGGCACCGTGGGGCTGGCAGGGAGCGGTGCCCGCTGTCCCCATGTCCCCACACCCAGGGCACACCTCCGGGGGAAGGCAAGGGGTGGCGGCGAGCCCCCTCCCGTGGGTCCCCGCAGCCGGGTGACACCGTCCCCCCCACCCTGTGCCAGGTGGACTTTGCCTTTGTGGTGTGGCGCAGCTTCCCCGAGCGCATCGTGGGCTTCCCCATGCGGAGCCACTTCTGGGACCCCGAGCAGAGGCGTTGGGGCTACACGTCCAAGTGGACCAACGAGCTCTCCATCATCCTCACCGCCGCTGCCTTCTATCACAGGTACCCAGCTGGGGAGGGGACCAGCGGGGTGGGGGGCTCGGCAGCATCCTGTCCCTCCACCTCACTCCGTTCCCCAGGTATTATCACAACCTCTTCACGGAATACCTGCCGGCGGGGCTGCGGGAGCTGGTGGACGGCCTGGCCGCCTGCGAGGACATCCTGATGAACGTCCTCGTGGCCGCCGTCACCAAGCTGCCACCCATCAAGGTCACCCAGAGGAAGCAGCACAAGGAGACTGTGCCCCAGCAGGTAGGGTGCAAGGATGGGGATGCGGGGACCCCCCCGGCCGGGGTGCGGAGCCCCTCACCCTCACACTCCCCTCCTGCCAAGGTGAAGGGCACAGCAGGGGCGGCCGGCGCCCGGCGTTTCTCCCAACGGCAGGATTGCCTCAACCAGTTGGTGGACTGGTTCGGCTACATGCCCCTCGTGTCCTCCCAGCTGCGCCTCGACCCTGTCCTCTTCAAGGACCAGGTCTCCGTCCTGCGCAAGAAATACCCACGCTTGGAGAAACCCTGAGGGCTGCCAGGGATATGGGCTGGCTCTGGGTGCCCCGTTGGTGGTTCATGGAGCCCTCCCGGCACAGGCGGTCGCTGATGACGGGGGTTTTACTCGTTATTGGGTTTTACCAGTACAATAAAGGTGGGTGGAGAGGCAGAGTCTGGCTGGTGGCTGTAGGATGTGGGGGGAGTGGGCTGTGCCTGGTAGCACACGGTAGCACCAGCGATTTGGTGCTTCTGCCACCCTGGGAATAACCCGTGCGGCACCCGGCTGCACACGCAGCCCCCCCGCTCCCCCCCCCAACCCGGCCTCCAGCCCCACGGGGAGGGCGAGTCCTTTGGCTTCCCAAGGGCAAACAGAGGAGCGATAAGAGGCGAGAGCGAAGCGAGCATGCCCTCCCTCCCCTTGGCTGGGATGGGGCCCCCTGCAGCCCCCAGGCACCCCAGCACCCCATTGCCTCGCAGCGCTCCCCGAAGAAGGCAAAAAGGCTCATTTCAGCTGCCTTTCCCCCCAGGTGAATAGAAATAGGGAAAATTAAGACAGCTGGCCTCCAACAGCTGCTCTCCTCCGGCCGCTGCAGCCGTGGGTCCGTCCTTGCTGCCTTTGCAGACACCCGAGATAACACCCGGCGTCGCCAGACCCAGCATCCCCGCCCTGCGCGCACCCAGCCCTTTGCTCTGCTTTATTTTCCACGCATGAATAGTTCCTTTCAGGACATGAGGGGGCTGCCGGAGGTGGAGGGGCGGGGGGAGCTCAGTCACGGGGGGGCTGGCACTCCCGGCAGTCCCGCATCTCCTCGGAGTAGCTCTCCACCTGGATGGTGGTGGTGTGGAAGCGGAAGGTGCCCTGCAGCCGGGAGCTGGCCTCTTCCAGCACCTCCTGCGCGCTGGCCCCCGCGTCTGCAAGGAGCAAAGGGAAGGGGGGGGGGGGGGAAGGGGGAGAGGGGATGCCGGGGTGTGGGTGAACCCCAAATCCCTTCCCCACACGCTCCCGTCGCTTCCCCGGGGCAGCGGCACTCACTGATGGCGATGTGCACCGAGAGCAGTGGCTGCGCCGCCGTCAGCGCCCAGATGTGGAGGCTGTGCACGGCCTCCACCCCCCCCACCGCCAGCAGCGTCTCCCGCACGGCGTTGAAGTCCATCCCTTTGGGGGTACCTGGGGAGGGAGAGCCCCCAGGAGATGGAGGGACAGGGGCCACGACACCCATGGGTGGCCCCATGGCCCAGACACCACCACTCCACACACCCCGATGGGTCCCTACCCTCCATGAGGACGAGGAGGACGTCGCGGAGGATGGTCAGTGTCGTCCCCAGCACCAGCGCGGAGAAGAGGAAGGTGCAGATGGGATCCACGTACTTGTACTCGGGCTGGAGGGGGTGGGAGAGGGTGAGGCCCCTCCAGCGCTGTCAACACCCCCCCCCCCGCCCCCAAATCCCCATCAGCACCAGTGGGGAGGGGGACACGGTCCCTTCTGTCTCACCCCTGTGCCTGGCCAGGGCTGGCTGAAGCCACTGTCCCCATGTCCCCAGCCGTGACCACCCAGACCTTAAAGAAGATGATGTAGGACGCGATGAGGACGCCGACGCTCTGCAGCAGGTCCCCCACGACGTGGACGAAGGCAGCGCGGACGCTGGCGTTGGGCTGCTCGCCGGCTGCCCCGTGGCTGTGCCCGTGCCCCGTCTGGTGCAGAGCCACCCCCATCCTGTTGACAGGGCAGCGGTGACATCCCCGGGGCCACCGGGCACGGGGCAGGGGCTGGGGGGGGGACACACCCCGGGGAGGGAGAAACCCAAACCTACACGATGTTGACGGCCACGGCGCAGGCGGAGGTGATGAGCATGACGTCGCCCTCGATGTCGTAGTCGGCCGAGAGCAGGCGCTGGGCCGCCAGATAGACCAGGACACCCGTCACCACCCAGATGGAGAGCACGGAGAGCAGGGCCCCCAGGATCTCTGTGGAGAGTCCCCCCCCCCCAACCCCTCATTGCTGCTTTGCCATCACGCCAAGCCTGAGCATCCTCCCAGCACCCCCCCACCCCCTCCAACCCAGCAGCACCGGGGGTCAGGGTGGGCGCCCAGCACCCATCCCTGGGGTTGCTCCCTGCATTGGGATGTCAGTGCCTTTGCCCAGGGCTCCCCAAAGCGCCCTCTCCCCACAGGGAGGGCACCCTGAGGTGCTCTGAGTGTTCCCTGGGGTCCTCAGGAACCAGATGACAGCCTCCGGGACGGGGGGGGGGGGGGGGGTGCCACCCCCCCTTACCTGCCCGGTGCCAGCCGAAGTTCATGGTTTTGGTGGGGGGGCGCGAGGACACCCAGAGGGCGAAGAGGCTGATCATGATGCTGGCGAAGTCCGTCAGGAGGTGGGCTGCGTCTGTCAGGATGGCCAGGCTGTGCGCCAGGTACCCGCCTGTGGAGAGGGGACATCGAGGTGACATTGCAGGGGGGGGTTCCCAGCCGCGGGGTGGGTGTGTGTGTGGGAGGGGTGTCTGGGTTCAGACCAAGTCACCCCAAGCTGCAGTGGGAACCCCACGGGGCGCTTCGACCCACCGAAAAGCGACAGGGAGCCCTGCCCGCTCCCTGCCTGCACCCGCAGAGCGGCGGGGGGGGCAGAATCAGGACAAGGCGGGGGGGGCAGCCACTCGGGGTGCCCCCCACCCTGTGGGGGCCACCCTGGTTGGACCCTACACCCACCACTCACCCACAGCTTCCCCCACCATGAAGACGAGGCAGATGCCAGCGGCCAGGTAGAGCTTCCTGCGTGCCCGCTGCTGCTGGCCAGGGTGGCCAGTGGCCCCCCGCGCGTGGCAGTGCTGGCCACGCCGGGCCCCCAGCTCCAGCGCTGCCTCTCCCTGCACTGAGTTGCGCCCGTTCTTTTGCACAGCCCCCAGGTAGGACCTGCTGGGGGGTGGGGGGAGAGAGGTGGTCGGGGACCAGGTTGGGGAATCTGGGGGAATTTTGGGGAGCAGGTTGAACCCTCCACGCTCCCCCCACCACCCCCACCCCCCCTTCCCCCAGCCAGATGCCTCCGGGGGAGCCCCATGGGGAAGAGGGGACACGACATCCCCAGCTCCCCTCCCTGGGGCAACCCCCTACCCGCCTCCGCCCTCGCTCAGCAAGTGCCGTTTCTCGCCGCCGGCTGCCATCCTCCTCCGTGGCGGGGGTCCGGGGTGGGTGACCCCCCGGCGAGTGGCCGGTGCTGGTGGCAGCTGGCGGCCTCGGCCCGTGTGAAGTGACGGGGACTCGTGTGCAAAGCCTGGGGAGGGGGGGGAGGGAGGGCCAGCCCGGCTGCAAATCGCCCGCGCCTGCCCCAGGGTGGGCCCAGTGCCCGGGGAGGGGGGCTGCTGATGGTGTTGGGGGGGATTGGGGGGGGGGGGGCTGCTGATAGAGTTGGGGGGTTGGGGGGGCTGTTGATGGTCTTTGGGGGGGTTGAGAGGGCTGCTGCTGGTGTTGGGGGGGTTGAGGGGGGCTGCTGATGGTGTATGGGGGGGGGTTGAGGATTGCTCTGGGGGACACACACACACCCCCCCCTTCCATGGGGACCCCCCCAGGAACCGCGCAGCAGGGCACGGGTGCAGCCCCCCCGAGGAGGGGGAAGGATGGAGCATCCTGCTGTCCCCCCCAAAGGCACCCAGTGACACCCCCTTCCCACCCTGGGGAGCCCCCCGGTTTAGATCCAGCTACAAAGCAGCGATGTAGTGGAGAAGCCTGGGGCTGGACCACCCCCTGCGGCTGTGACTCCCGCCCACCACCCCAGCGAGCAGCACTAATTGCCCTGGGGCTAATTACAATTGTGGCACAGCCCAGAGCACTGCTGCAGGTGCTGCCTCAGTTTCCCCTTGGCCAGGCACTGAGCTGGGCTTATGTTTTTGCAGGAGAAAAGCATTTGTGGTGTAGTTTGGCATTCATGGTATGTTTTTACAGTCGTGTGAGCTCAGCCGGCAGAAAACCAGCAGCCCGATGATGAGGCTGTCCCCATTTTGGGGATCATCACCACCCCCCCTGCCACATCCCCAAGCCTGGGCAAGCACTGGCCCTGGGCATCCCATCACCAGGAGATAAATCCTGCCGGGTGCCAACCTACTATGTCCCTGGGCAGGCAGCCAGGAGCAGGGTGCCAGCACTGCCAGAGGTGCTAATGAGGCCAAAAATTAATTGATGGACTGGGAGGTGTCCCTCTGCCACGCTGGGCACCGGCAGGGACACTGGTGATGGCATCAGCCTGGAAAACCCTCCCGCTTTCCCATTGCCCATCGCAAGTCTGGCAAGAATGAGAGGTGAGAGAAAAAACTGCCCAAAACACCATTTTTCTTTACAAAATACACAAAATTAAAATCCATGGCAATTATATACAAAACAAAGAAGATACAAAACGTGCGGAATTGTCCTGTTTTCACCCGTATAGAAAAGTGTCCTGTGCTGGAGCAGGAGCTGGCTCACGAGGCCACCAGCCCCCATGTGTGTCCCCCCCATCCCGAGTCCCATTGCCAGACATCCTGTGCCCGTGGCGTTTCTCCTGTGCTGGCAACGTCGCTGCGGCTACTGGGAAGCTGCCAGGGGAAAAGGATCGGGGGGTCAAGGGGGGTCCAAGCCCCTGAAGCTCCCCCATGGCTGCTTGGGGGTCCTGGGGAGGTGGGCCCGGCTGTGCTGCCCCTTACCCATCACCATCCTCTCAGGCACCACGTCCTCCTCCACCTCTTCTTCCTCTCCATCAAAGTACTCCTCGTCTTCCTCAGCTGCAAACAGGCGGCCAAATGTCACCACGGGGCCACCAGAAAAGGCGATGGGTGCCACTGGGTGGGTGGGAGTTGGTAAAGGGGCATTGAGGGGGGGGGGGGTTTAGGGGCTGAATTACCGGGGTCGAAGTCCAAGGCATGGACCGCCTCGGTGAGGTGGCCCAGGCTCACTGAGAAGGCGTCCATGCTCTCGTAGCCGTGCTCGATCTTCTCCAGCCTGCCGCCCTTGGAGGCCTCCACGATCCTGGGCAGGGAGAGCACAGCCGTGTCCCCCTCCGTCCCCTCCCCGAGCTGGGGGACCGCGGGGTGCCGGGATGGGAGGTTGGGGCATCCCCCCCACTCGCCACCTGGGCACTACCGGCAAAACCCCGCAGCCGAATCCCGCCCGGCTGCGGGACTCAGGATCGCCAAATTTTCCCCAATTTGAGCACTTACGTTTTAATGAGCTGCTTGGCGTTCTGTGGGGAGAGAGGGGAGAGGTGAGTGAAGCCATGTGGCAGCCACCGAGATGTCCCCAAGCCAGTGGGACCCTGTGGAAGCAACAGCAGGGAGCAGGGGGGAGGTTTGGGGGTCTCACCATGAGGAAGGCGGCCCCCCCAGTCTCCTCCATGGCCTGGATGGCCGTCTCCACCAGCCGGCTTGACTTCTCCAGCTGCTCCTTGTACTGGCAGATGAGGCCCTGGACGAAGCTCGTCTTGTCGCCCTGCTCACGGGTGATGCGCTGCAGCAGCTCCGACTTCTTCTCCTCCAGCAGCGCGGCCAAGGCGTCGAAGCGAGCGCACAGCTCCCGCTTGGCCGCCTCGCTGTTCTCCTGCGGGGACAAGGGGCAAAAGATGCCACGCGTGCCCCTCAGCATCAGCAGCATCACAGGGGCTTCCCTGCTCAGGGGGATCCAGCTCCCTCCCGGCCATCCCTGGCTGAGGCGTCACCCCCAGGTTTTGGAGGGCTCCTTTTCCCTCTTCCCTCACCTCGGTGCTCCGGCACGAGTCCTCCAGCTGGGAGATAATCGTCTGGATCCGGTCGTTCCCCGCCACCAGCATGGAGATGCAGTTGTTCAGCTCAGTCTGGGCAGGAGCAGACAGAGAAACAGCTTGAACCCCAGTGAGGACAGGGACGGGGACATCTCCCACCCCAACATGGGGATGGGATGGGCATTGCCTGGCCCCAGCTCTGCTCCCCCCACAAGCCACAGCCGCTCTAAATATAGGCTGTCTCCTGGGCAAAGTCACCCAGGGCTATTAATATCCCATGAGCTGGTCCCAGTGCTATTTGTGGCCACCCCAGCTCAGCACTCGGGACCAGCCGTGTCCCCCACGGCCCCCCCCATCCCCACCCCACGGCACCTTCTGTCCCTGGAAGATGGTTTCCAGGGGGGCGACCTCGCAGTCCTTGTGGGCACCGAAGACTTTGCACATGGAGCAGGTGGGGACCTCGCAGGTGACGCAGTAGATGTTGATCCGCTCGTCCTCGTGCTCCTTGCACATGGGGTGCTCCCCCTTCTTCAGTGGCCTGCTGGAGAGAGCGGCACGGCCACGGTGACGTCCCCATCAGGGTGACATCCCCATTGGGGTGACATCCCCACTGCTGTGACATCCCCACCATGATGACATCCCCCTTGCAGCATCATCCCCCCGCTGTGGTGACATCCCTGCTGATGCTGCACAGCCACCCCAAAATCACGTCCCCAGGAAAGAGGCCAGATCCTGGCATAACCCCACGCTTGCTCCTCTGGGAGCTACCGACCTCTACACCTCCATAAAACCCAGTTTAAACCAGTGTGGCACTGGGCACAGCAGCAGTTGACACCAGTGGGTGGGGGGCCCGGAGCCGTGCTCCAGAGACGCTTCACAAGCCCCTAATTTTAGCTTTGGGCTGCTGGATTTATTGTTGTCACCCAGTGCATAACCAGGGTGGGGGTGCCCAGAAACCCTCGGGGGGGTCCCAACCTGGGGCTGCAGCCAAATTGTCCCATCTGCAACAAGGGGGGACATGGGGACAAGCCAAGACAGGACTGGCCCCCCCAAGCCCCCCCCCGGCAGCCGCAGACACCTGCCACGTGCCATCGTCCCTGTCCCCATGGCTCTTAAACAATATTTACAGTGGTTCAGGGATTTTGGCCAGGACCACTGCTCTGCCTCGAGAACCTGTGACCTCTCTGTCCCCCTCCCCAGGTGCACGTTTTTACCGAGTGGGCCCCCCCCAAACTGTCCCTCCACTCCTTATCAGCCAGCAGTGCCCGCTGTCACGAGCAGAGCCTGGATTTGTTCCCCCACATCTCTTATCTCCCACTAAACCCTCCGGCTGGAGAGCGCAGAGGGGGGACAGAGACCCAAACTGCTCTGGACAGGGTGGGGAATTTGGGTTGGGAGGAGCAAGTTTTGGGTCAGGGGAGGAAGATTTGGATCGAGGACCACTGAGCCAGCAGAAAAGCCACCCACATTCTCACCCAGCTGCAACCTCCTGCGGTCTCAGCAATGGTGCTGGGGCTTGGCAGGTGGGCACCCCCATGTCCCCATGTCCCCACGTCCCCGTGTCGTGTCCCCAAAAGGGGCAAGGCACAAGCAAACATCCATGGCCCCCCCCCCCCCCCCCCGGTGCCCACCTGGAACACTCCTGCTTGTAGATGTCGATGATGTTCTCCACCAACAGGTTCCTCTGCAGCCCGTAGACGCCGTGACGGTCCAGCAGCACCTCATGGCGGCACGATGGGCACCGGAACCGGCCCCCCGAAATCACGCTGCCCCGGCTCTGCCAGCACGAGTTGGCGGCCTGGAAGGGGGAGATTCGCATCAGGGGGGTCCATGAGCATCCCCACAGCACCACGAGCATCCCAGTGACCTCCAACCCCGGTGAAGCGGGGAGGGGGAATGGACACAGGGATCCTTTCTCACCTGGAAGACGTCGTTGGCACACTTGCGGCAGAGGTTGTGCTGGCAGGGCAGGATCACCACCGGCTTGCTGAACATCTCCAGGCAGATGGGACAGATAAGCTGCTTCTCCAGGTTCTCCATGGGGCTGCCAACCTGCAGGATACCGGCTTGGAAATCCATCGGCACGACGGTGTACTCCTCTCACCCGCTCTCGGCTGCTGACAGCACCCGTCGTCCCGTTATTTATAAATCGCTCCAGGTCACGCGGAGCCAAATCCCAAAGTGGGATCGGGTGTCTTGGGAAGCAACAGCACCTGTCACATGGGACTGAGCCACCAGGATGCTGTCGGTGGCAGTAAACAAGCTGGGGACAGGCTGTCCGGGAGGCCCTGCCCGCCCGTGCCGCGGGTGCCGGCACGCCGAAACCAGAGCTGGAGGGTAAACAGGGCCAGGCTTCGCCCCGGGGCCAAAGGGCTGCACACCCTGGGGGGGGAACATGGCCAGATTCTGGAGGTGGGCCCCATGATGACATCGGGGTGGGGGTGTGGAGGGACAAAAACCAGCCCTGTGGTCATTCAGACATTGTGGTGGTGCCAGGAATGGGGCAGAGACAGGGCCAGCAGCACCGGGGAGGGGGGGGGCTTATATGGAGCATCTCCCTTTGAGATCCCCAAAATGTGGCCACTGCTGGGGTGCAAACACATGCCTTATCAGCAGGTCCCCAGGCTGTGCTTGGAGGGGACAGGCAGCACAAGGGAGAGGCAGCCCCCCCATGCCTGGCATATGCACTGGGGTCCCACCCTTCCCTCCCCAGGCAGGGGTTGGGGGGTTCTTTCATACCCCCAGATACAGGAGGGGCTGCAAGGGCTGCTCCCCTTGCTGGCGTGCCCCACCATGACCCAGCCAGCCCCTCTGCTGTTGCAAAACTTGACCCAGAAACAGCTTGGAGGGAGGGGGAAGCAGCCGAACACGACCCCTGGGGACCTGCACCCGCCGGGGAAAACAGCCCCGATGCAGGGTGCCCGGCTGGCGCGGAGATAAACAGGGTGTCATGCCAAACACCAGTGCCTGTCCACAGGGAGAGCTGTAAATACTGTCAGCTGCACGGGGAGAGGGGTAATTATAGCACCATCGCCTCTGAGGCACGCGGTGGGGTGGGATGGTGGGTGCTGCTGTACCCACAGCGACCGCGGGCAGGAGGGGATGGGTGCTAGGGTGCAGAGGTGCATGGGTGCGCTAGTACAGGGGTATGTGGGTGCAAGGGTGCAGGTGTGTAGGGGTACATGGGTACACGGGTGCACAAGTGCAGAGTTGCACGGGTGTACAAGTGAATGGGTACATGGGTGCATGGGTAAATGGGTGCACAAGTGCAGGGGTGCATGGGTACCTGGGTGTACAAGTGCATGGGTACACATTGTGCATGGGTGCAGATGTAAATGGGTGCACAAGTGCATGGATGCACAGGGTGCAGGGGTACACGGGTGCATGGGTAAATGGGTGCATAAGTGCAGGTGTGCCTGGGTACATGGTTGCATGGGTAAACGGGTGCACAAGTGCACGGGTACATGAGTGCAGGGGTACACGGGTGCATGGGTGCAGATGTAAATGCGTGCACAAGTGCACGGATGCACAGGATGCAGGGGTACATGGGTGCATGTGTTCAGGGGTGCATGGGTCCATGGGGGCAGGGGTACACTGGTGAATAAGTACAGGGTTGCACGGACACAGGGGTACATGAGTCCATGAGTAGGTGGATATGAGGGTGCAGGGGTGTGTGGGTACAGGGGTACGTGGGTATATGGGTGCACGGGTACAGGGGTGCATGGATGTATGGGTGCACAAGTGCACAGAGCCCATTTTCGCTGCAGTCAGACCCCCAGAGCAGGCAGCCCTGCAGCTGGTTTGGGTGCTCCTTCCGGGCAGGCTCACATGTCCGGCAAGTGACTGTGCTGAGACCGGCCAAGCACATCTTGCAAAATTGTCCCTGTTTTGGCACTTGGGGCTCTTCCAGGAAGGAGCTGGCACGGAAGCAAGGCCAGCTGGGCACTCGGGAGGGCAGCACAGGGGTCAGCCACGGACGGGAGCCAGAAGTGGGGCACCCAGATGTGCACCCAGACCCACTCCTGGGGATGGCATTGATTAACTAATTGCTTCTGGACTCGATTAAGGGGATTCACGGGAACGGAGGGGGTTGTAATGCTCTAATCAGCTTTCAAAACCCACAAGGGACTCATCTGGTCCTAATTGGCTTGGGGCAGCTTAGGCAGGGACCTGGGGCACTAGTCACCACCGGGCTCATTCCCAATTAACTCAGGAGAGGTGTGAGAGCACGTTGCTCTGGTGGGAGCGTATCTGAACAGCCTCTACTTAGTCTCTGCAGGGCTCTGAGCAGTGGTCAGCCCTGGCTTCTCCCACAACGACTGCAACGGCCTGAAGGGTCAAGGGAACAGCAGGGGCCATTGCAGGAGCCCCACGCCCCCTAATTGCAGTGCATGGGGGGGCACCTCCAGCCTACGGAGGAAAGGCAGAGAGCAGAGCACAGAGCGGGGGCGGGGGGCCGGCTCTCCACCTGGAGCTGTGTCAGCCTCACGCAAAGCCAGAGCGCACACAAAGGTACGAGAGACTGTCGTGATTTTTTTTTATTTATTTCTTTACTTAATGGCAATAAATTAATAAATCAAAACAACAAAATCCACCTCAAAAAAAGAGGAGGGCGGTTATTGCAGAGGAGCGGGGCGCGTTAAGCGCAGAGGTGGGGGATGCAGCGCAGAGCAAAGAGCAGGGGGAGATGCACGAGCCCCCGTGCATCGCCGTGCACACCCACCTTTTGCACCGGCGGCCGCGCGCCGCTGCCAGGTCAGCGCGGGAACGGCGCGCGCACGCGCACCACCCCGCCCCTCCCTCGCCGTCGACCAATCAGAGGGCGCGATAGGGACGGTGGGGCGGGGCGTATCCCGGGAGGGGGCGTGGCGGCGGCGGCGCTGGGGGGAGCCCTATAATGGCGGCCGGGCGGAGGCAGCGCGGTGGTGGCGCTGAGGTAACGCGGGGCCCGGGCTGGGCTCGGCGGCGGGGAGTGGGGTCGGGTGGGTTGTCTCGGTGCGTCATAGTGGGGGTAGTGTTGGGGGGGGAGCCGCGACCCCCGCCCCGGGTGTGCGTGGCGGCGGCGGGGGCCTGGGTACCTGCTGAGGCGGGGAGGGCCCGGCGGGGTGAGCTTCCCCCCTCAGGGCCGCGGCTGGCGGGGTGAGAGCCGGAGCGAGCGGTGCCTCAGTGATTGCCCCTCCGCTGCTCGGTCCCTCTTGGTCCTGGTGTGACAGCCGCTTGCAGGGCCTCCCTGGAGGGGCAGGGCGACGGGGAGGGAGGGCCGTTTATTTTATTCCCTAATTATCGCCGCTAACGAAGCGGGCAGGGAGGGAAGGCGCATCCCCCTGTGAAATGCCGGCCGCAGGCTTCTAGGCCTGCAGGAGGGAGCAGGACCTGTTCGCTTTGCCCTGCCTGGCCTGTGCCCGACCCTGTGCCAGGGCCCTGCAGCTTGGCAGGAGCTGCCCCGGTCGCTGACCTGGGGAGCAGGCGACACTTCTCATCGGGTTAGGCAATAAACCTCGGTGGCATTTTCAGGCCAGCCTAGCCCTTTGTGGGGGTGAAGGAAGACAGGTAGCAACCCTGACACTTGGCAGAATGACAGATCCTCTCTGGTAACAGCACACAGCTAACTGACTCTAAGCATGGGGGGGGGGACATTTCCTGCTCATTTTGAACCTGGTGTGATAGTGTTTGAGTAATGCAATCTTTTCCTCAGGAAATATTTGGCTGCTGGTGAGATTACAGATCCTGCTCTTCTCCCATGAATGGGAGGGGCTATTATTTAATGTGCAGGCTGTAATCTTAATCTGTTCCTCATAGTCATGCTAGAGGTACAGGCCTAATGCCTCTTGTGAGAAGAATTTCATGGTAATGTTTCCTGGGCACATCACACTTCAGTTCAAAATGTTCTTGTAAATGTTCATCGCAGAACTTTGCTGAAAGGTTAAAATGCCTGTGTAGTATTGCCCTGAGACTGATGATGCCTCTTTTTCTCTCTCTTTTTTTTTTTCCTTTTTTTTTTTTTTGTAAAAAAAAAAAGAGTACTTAAAATAGTGGAAATAATTGAAAGCATTCTACTAATAACAGGCTGTTTCAGTGTGGTTCTTATTGCCTGGTTTACTGACATAAAGAGAATGACATTTATCATTGCTAGTCTTAGAGACTATTTTAGTTCTGCTCTATTAGCTGTGATTTTTTTTTTCCTTATTTTTGTGTTTCATTCTGTTTGACAAGTGATAATTGGCTAGCCAAGCTTTTCTTTTTTTTCTGTCTATAGTTAGTGTCCCATTTTGGTTTGTTTGTGTGAAGGTAGTCCTGGTGTGTTTTGGTCTGTCATCTTGCAGGGAAGTGTGCACGGAGGGTCATAAATTTGTAGCAGTGTTTGGTGGGGTATTTTTTTTTTTTGTGTGTGTCTCTCTTGTTTTCCTTATAGAGCAATATCTTAACTTTTGTCTTTGCCCAGTTGAGCAAAAGTGAAAGTTAGATGCTGGGTACAAGCTTCTTCAATCAGTTACCCTTTTTAACTTTTTGTAAACTGTAGGCTCCTCATTCAGAGGAGACTAGGTGAAAAATCATAGTAACATTAAAAAATACATCTGAATAGATCCAAAGCATCCTCTTGTCTTAGTATCAGTAAAATAATTTAATGATTAAATTATAACAGAAACATTTACTTATGCAGTCACTTCCATAAAAGGCAGTGTTAATTAAATCTGTTACTGCCCAACCACAGGCTTCAACTAGAACCTCTTCTCTGCTATCCCAGGCGTGGATGGAGAGCATGATACCGTACTATTATTCCCGCAGATGTTCACGGAAGACACTGAGAGAAAGGAGCAGGAGCATACGCGATAGTCCTGTCTCGGCACAATACAAGTCTAGGTTTGAATTGTTGCCACCTTGAAAACTGGGCTGTATTTGAAATCTTCATAGTTCCACCAAAATGGTGTAATTTCACTTTTAACTAGTCTATGGCAACAGATGCAGGTTTACAGAATAACTTTTGGAATGTTCTAGCACTCACATGCAGTATTGCGTTCAGTGTAACGCTTGGAGGCACTGCCCTGTTAATTGCAGGGTTTTGGTAGGCCTAATACCGCCGCACCAAGCCACATGGGGGAAAATACAGCCCAGTTCTTGTTCATAAGTTTTAGTTCTGTGGGTTTTTCCCCCTTCCCCAGAACCCTTGATCTTGAAGATGGTGAGTAGCCAGCCTAAGTACGATCTAATACGGGAGGTTGGTCGTGGCAGTTATGGTGTGGTGTACGAAGCAGTCGTCAGGAAGACCTCTGCACGGGTCGCGGTGAAAAAGATTCGGTGCCATGCTCCAGAAAATGTGGAACTAGCTCTGCGTGAGTTCTGGGCACTTAGCAGTATCAAGAGCCAGCATCCCAACGTCATTCACCTGGAGGAGTGCATCTTGCAGAAAGATGGTATGGTGCAGAAGATGTCCCATGGCTCCAGTTCCTCCCTTTATTTACAGGTACATGAAGCTGAGGTAATGGGGTGGAAGTAATTAATATGGATGCATAGCTGGGAGGGAAGGAGGTGGGTAGCTAAGATATTTTTCTGGTTTTTTGAGGTACGCTTAGTTAGGAGAGGGTTTTGTTTGCATTGATGACACCTGAAAATTATTATATAACTTTAAAAGAGGGTATCTGTTGAACAGTCACCAGTATTTTGTAATTTGAAGTCATGCCACTCTAAAAGACTTCAGGATTTTTTAAAATGCAAGTCTGCTTTGATAATGTGAGGAAATACCATAGGTAAAGCAGAAGGGAGGTGCAGGCTGTTGCATTACTTGGTAGAAGCCCTGCTGCAGGGTTAACAAGCAGACTAATGTCTTGGGACAGAACTCTGAAGAATTTCTTAACCCCCAATGTCCTTAGAAGAGGAAGTAACCATCTTGATTTAGGAAGCTAACACTTAAAATTCTTTCAGAAATAATAAGCAATTGGTGAGCCATTTTATTTTTTGACTAAATAACTGTTAATCTCTTCAAAGAGAGGTAAAGGTGTGATAAGTAAGGGAATAAATATTGCTTCCCCTACGTGGCTACTGAAAGTGTCCTTTAAGTCACCTTATAGTTCAAAGATGCGTATTTTTGAAGAATAAGTAGCTCTAGAAAGACCGTGAAAGATAAACTGGTTTATTCTCTTGTCAAGAAGCTGCCCCAACTATAAATCATCCCCCTGGCAGAAATTTGTGTCTCTGATTTAAGTCAGGAGCCAGCTCAATGTTTATTGTGTTATCCCTAGTCAGCTTTTATCATTTCAGTTTTTATTGTTGTCATTCTTGCATGTCTAATGTAGGACCTTTTGTCACTAAACATTTATCTGACAACCCTTCATGGCTGTTCAGATCCTGTTGTGCCGGGTGCTATACACGCCTGAGAGAGAGGATTCTTGGCTTTGAACTCTCTGTAGCTTACTAGTTGTTACTGACCTGCTTTCATGGAGGGATTAGGGTAGAATAATACTGGCCTGCTCATGTGGGAGAAATTAGTGCCTTACCTTCCTAGTTGTTAGTGGATCTGTGAGAGATTGCATCAAATTTGTGGACAGCTGTACAGAGAGGAGCTTAAAAAACCAGGGTGGAACTGCAAGATGGGGAAGAGCTTCGAGATCATTTGCAGTATTGGTTTTTGGTGGTAGTGCCTGTTAACAGTGTGGCATGCAGATCTTGTCCGTGTCGGGTCTGAGCACTACCAATGGTTTTCCTGCCCCAGAGTGCAGAGAAGAGCAAAGGGCAGAGCTGACTTTAAAGAGACTGGGATCACTTTATAATAGCGTGTGCTAAAATAGAGAAAATCAGATCTCCCTTGGCCTGCCCTCTCTTCTTCCCACCCCAGTTGATATTACATTACAGAGCTGAACTGGTGCAGTGTGTGAGGAAGCTGGCCAGGGCGGGGGTGTTGGTGTCTCCTGAAGGGCTTTGGGGCAGATGCTTAGCTGGTGTCAGCTGAAGTAAGGCAGTAAAGAGAGAGTCCTAAACTAGCCTTGTCTCGTGGTGCTTTGCCACTGTCACAGACATGGCAGTGGATTTTGTTGTCCGAATGCTCTGAACTGAGCTGCAAATACAGCTTCTGTGAAGCTGTGTGGAGGGGAGACCTGTGCGGTGGTGCTTGCTTGGCAGAGGAGGTTCCCTGCTGTCCCCTGATACCTTAATCTCACTGTTATTGACTATAAACACTAAATATGTCGTTTTCTAGTTCTCACATGGATTGTTTTAAGTTGGTCCATTCTGAGTACTAGTTGTGCTAGCAATTAAAGATAGCTATAAATTGCTAGTAATTTTGCTTGTGTATGGAAAAGGTTGTTCTTTTAAAGCACTTTAAAATGCCTCTCTAAATATTAATAGCTACCTTAATTTTTGAAAGCCTGTAGGAGCTACGTTTGGTTTACTACTAACAGAAATAGTTGCAAGACTTACCTTCCATACCTTTCAGGGCATGCTAAGAGCCACCTCAGAGGAGTTGAAGAGGCAAAGGTGTAGATGTGTAAACAGCATTAGTAAAACTGTTTGCTGGTTTTACTTTGCTTTTTGAATGAAGCAGCTATTAGAACCAGCTGCTCAAGCTACTTGCTGCTTATATTCTAGAAAACCGCTAGTGGATCATGATGGTGGGAAAGGTGTTAAGTGCAGGTGCTGTTCAGCTCTGCTGGTGCATTAGCATTCCCTTGAGTTAAGGGATCCTGTGTTAACACTTGCTAGAATACATTAATGTGTAAGGAATGGAGAATAGGCTTTAAAAACTTACTGCGGTGCTGCTTCATCAGCAGAGGACAAACACAACCCCCTGGCACTGCAGAGGGTAACTTGTTGGGACTTCATGTGTACATTAAACTTGTTAGCAGAGTGGGTGGGACACTGTCCAGTTGAAACAGATGGGAGTGCAATGGCCACTTAGTATCTTTCAAAATACTGTTATCTGGGTCTAGCTCTAGTTTCTGGGCAGGAGTGTGAACTTGATATGCTTCGCACACACGAAAATAAGGAGGCTGTCAAATACATTGTGATTTTTTTTTTATTATTATTATTATTATTTTTGTTTCTTACATCAGAAATTTTGCGTAAAGTTTAATTTCACCAGTTGCAGTATCTTGCTCTCTGGATTGTTGAGAGGAAGATCCAATCTTCATGCATTTTTCCATCATATCTTTACATTCTTGTGATCATCAGGTAGTTTGACATTTCTTTTCCTTGTTGCAGCTTGTAGAGACCTCATTAAAAGGAGAGATAGTCTTTGACCCCAGAAGTGCTTATTACCTCTGGTTTGTAATGGATTTCTGTGATGGAGGAGACATGAATGAATATCTGTTGTCCCGAAAGCCTAACCGCAAGACCAACACGAGTTTCATGCTTCAACTCAGCAGCGCACTGGCTTTCCTGCACAAAAATCAGATCATTCATCGTGATCTCAAACCTGACAATATTCTGATTTCTCAGAGCAGGATGGATGCTAGTGACTTGGAGCCTACCCTGAAGGTAGCTGATTTTGGGCTGAGCAAGGTATGTTCAGCCTCAGGACAGAATCCTGAGGAACCAGTCAACGTAAATAAGTGTTTTCTATCAACTGCATGCGGGACTGACTTCTATATGGCCCCTGAAGTCTGGGAAGGACACTACACTGCCAAAGCAGACATCTTTGCATTAGGGATTATAATCTGGGCAATGTTGGAAAGAATCACGTTCATAGATACAGAAACAAAGAAAGAACTTCTGGGGAGTTACGTCAAGCAGGGGACAGCGATTGTGCCTGTTGGAGAAGCGCTTCTAGAAAACCCTAAAATGGAACTGCTCATCCCTGTAAAGAAAAAGTCCATGAATGCTCGAATGAAACAGCTGATCAAGGAAATGCTGGCTGCCAACCCACAGGACCGACCCGATGCGTTTGAGCTAGAACTGCGATTAGTCAACATAGCTTTTAAAGACAGCAGCTGGGACACGTGACCTGGCGAGTCCCGTCTCTCGACAGAGCTGCTTCTCGCCTAAGTGATGGTGCAACTTAATGGCAGTGAAAGAAACGAGCCTGAACTCAAACCTGCAGGGTGTAGTTTCTACCAAATGAATCTCTTTTTTGAGTTTCATAAATGATACGAATGTGAGTTGGCTGTGGTGTTAACAATACGTTGATGTGTATAATACCAGGATGTTACATGCCGGTGTAAGGTGTGATGATGTTCATTTGTACCCTGGCAGTGGGATGTCTTAAGAGCTGAGACTTGATTTCCAGCGTTATGGCATGGAGTATCTCATACATTCCAGTCTCCTATGTCAGTATTAGGAACTCTCATGAAAAAAAAGCGATTTGCATGCTGGTAGTGCAAATCTTCAGGCTTTGTAAAGTAATTCTGTGTATATTTATGTATATGAGTGACTGGGAGTGTATGCCACTTTTCTTAAATTATTTGCTATGGGTCTGAATGATTGGTGTCTGCTTGAAAACTAGGTGAAGATGATAGATGAGAAGCATTCCTTCTTCTCCAGGCCTGAATAACTTTATTATTTATTTTTGTTATCTGATGTCAAGGATAGGGTCTGAGACTTGACTTTGTAGGCAAAAAATGCAATGCAAAGGGATCAGCAGTTCTTAAAGTGCTGACATGGCCGAGCTTAGCACTTCTGGCTTAATGAACTCGTCACCAAGGGAGTCAAATACAATATGTATGCAATCAGGTGCTAGCATGTTGGCTAGATCATTAATCATTTGATTTTGCTTTCTTCTAGTAATCAGATACTTTATTAATGAGTTAATCTGCACTTGCGCAATGTGCTCTCTACTCTTGTATCTATAATCCAATAGCACCGTGAGGACTTCTATTAGCAGAGTACTGTGGGTTTAGTTTATGGAACATGGATGAGGGAATTCTTCAGCATAGGGTGTTATTTTTAAAGTTCTTCAAAACGTGGTGGAAGCACAGTTTTCCCATTAACTGAATCTAACTAGTAATACTGGCCATGGCCTCTTCCTTTCTGGCACTGCCTCTAACTTGGTAGTGATGAGGAGATAAAGGGCTGACTATTTGTCTTGTGGAACACACCTATTCTCAAATACGGGAGAAAAGTCAGTAACGAGTATGCAAAAGGTATCTCCGATTTGTGTGGCAACGTTTCCTGTTTTTTTGACTTGTTTTCTTCCTTTTAAAGAAGTAATTTTTATTTAAAAGCACGGATGGTAGGGTGGGAAGCTTTGAAGTAGTTGAAAGGCTGCTTATCCCCAGCTCTTGTTCCACAGAAGCAGATTGATATGCTGAGAGAGGTTTTGCTGAGGCCACCTGACACCCTAGGGCAGACAGAAGCCGCTTTGTAATAGCGTAACACTTTGTTCTTTTGGGTGCAGGACCGTGACCTTTCTCATTCATTTGACCTTTTGGAAAAAGTAGAGTCTTCAAAAATTGCCTTTAAAGGCAGATACATTAAAGCTACAACAAAGGCCCATTTTCTTGATAAAATCAATTTAATGTTTTTTCCCAAATCTTGCCTGAAAACTGCCATAAGTATTCCCTTCTGTAACTTGCTTCTCAGATACTGTTCCCTCTTAGTGCTGTGAGAGCAGTTCAATGTTTATTGTGCCAGAGTATGAATGAACAGCACAAACAATATATAATTTTTCTTCCAAAAGCAAAGGATTCTGATTCTGCCAAACTTCTGTGGCTTTACAGACTAGAGGTGGTTCTTACCTGGTGCTGTTCAGAGCTGGTGGCAGTTACATAGGAGGCCTTAGTCCTTAATTCTTATTTGCCTTCACTTGATCATTTAAGGCAAGTTGTCTAAACAGTGTTTCTCAGACAAATACACTTTTCTGTCTCAAAACAAAGGTTATTGTTTAGAAGATGCTATAGCAGTAACTTCCAGAAGGCAGTGTTCCTGGCTATAGCAGAGCTCCTTGCTTCAGCATAAATTGATAGGGACGGTGGCGACTGCATCGTACTGAGGATACAGCCTGTTGCCTGCACAGATGTCCCAGTGTTGCTCATTCCCTGCAGAGTGCTTAGTTTATAAAAGACTTGGACGCTATCTGTGAGTAACGATAAGGATAGATCTATTTTTTTTTTTTTTTTTTAAGTTCTAGAATCAGAGATCAGTTCTGGAAGTGGAGAACTGAGTTCAGTACAATTGAAGCTTTGGCTTGTTACTGAAAAGAGGAAAACAAACCTCTCGCTGCCTGTGCCAACGCTGTTTCACAGTACTTATATTTCAGCATGCTCATTCGATGAGTGAAGATTTAAGAGGATGTATCATCTTTCCATGTTAAACTCGAGGGTTTTTTTAAAAAATACATTGCGAACTTCCTCGTCTCTTGTCTGCCCAGAGCCAGAATCAACTATGTTATCTTAAAGTATGAATCTACTACAGAATAATACTACTCACCTTTAAGATACTTTGCAAATCACCTGATTTTTCTCTGAAGTATTTCAAAGAACACCAAATATACTGCCTGCCTGCAGTGCAGAAATGAGTGAATGGCACAGGAAAGTGTTGGGTTTTTTTGACTCCCAAAGTGTTTCTTTGCACTGATTGCCACTTTAAAGGGTGAGGGTACCTGAAATCCCTCTCATGGTGCTTAGCCTTGCTGTTGGGTGATACTGAGTGTTTCCTTGTTTAACACTGAGTGGTTGTCCTTGAGGTCTCTGTCCTGTTTGATTTTTTGTTGTCTGAGGTCTTTGTTTTAAAACCTTTGATAAATCAAATTGTTGTAGCAGCTACGGAGTTATTCACCAGCGTGACATGAAGTCAAGATACTTTTCAGCGCTCAAAAGATTTTTTTTTTTTTTCAAATCTTTCTTTAAAAGCTGTAAAATATATTTTATGGAGAATTTATAATGAGGAAAATTGTGTAATTTATTAAGTTCATGACTGTTTTTGAAATAAAACCTGAATTTCTATGACCTTTTTGAACTTTCTACAGAGAAATGCTTTCTTTTCAGTCAGTGCAATGTCATCTAGCTGTCAGCAAAGCTACAGAAAGGTTTATTTGCTGTGCTAGGACAGAACTAAGCTGCAGTACTTCATCACAGCCATACCATAAGTGATCCCAGGCTTGTAAAAGGTGCTAGGTTGGCTAATAGCGTTGCTGCTCGTCTTCTGGGGGTGGCGGCAGTGCCAGACTCCCACTGATGTGTAATGTGCTGCTGGAGGACATGACGGAGCGAGGCCAAATGGGGTGTGCAAACAGCTGGAGCAGCTGAGGTGAGCCATGGCCTGTGGACCCTGCGGCTTCTGACGAGCCCTTTAAGAATCAAAACAGTGCTCTTTTGGGTGTGCTTCGTTTTCAAAGAGGGGATTAAAGACTAAAAGCAGCATTCTTGCATCCAGTACATACTTGTAGTTGTTATTACAAGCAGACTGAGTACCACCCTGGGCTGTAAGGAGATCTCTGGCAGGCTCTGCTTACCCCACTACTGGTACTACTGGATTTTTGAGGCTGCAAATAGATGCTGCTGCTCTCCTGGGCACTGACACTCCTCTCGCTGAAGCAAGCCTTTCCCCTTTAGTCCCTGCGTGTGCTGGAGTAGGATTTCACCTGGAAAGCGGCCAGCCCGTGTTGTGGGTGGGTGCCGTTGCCCTCCTGAGCACCCCACAAACCCCTGTGCAGAGGGTGGATGTGGCCCAGTGACCGTGTCTGTGTTTCCCTCCAGCGTCCGTGGGCTGAGCGCTGCTGCCTTCAGCTGGAGCTGGTGCTGGCTGTCGGGGCAGCTCCTGGGGCTCAACTGGGCACAAATGGTTTCCTGGAGGCTTGTGCAGGACGCTGTCCTGCTGGTCTCACATTCCCCAAGAAACCTTAGAAATAAAAGTGAGGAAACACCATTACTTATACATGATACAAAAGTCTAGTAGTCACTTGCATGTTTTAATTAATAGTCCTTCCAAACAAAGGGTTGTGCAGGCTGGGAGTAGGAATAGTACGAGCTGGAAGTGCTGTAAATTGGCTTGTCTTGCCATTTCTTACCCCCACAACAAACCCAAGCCCAGCCACCTCCCGAGGGCCGTGCGCTTGCATCATTACCTGCAAAATTCCTGAGTATCCTGGTGCTGGAAATAGGCTGATTCCCACCTGGCAGGAGCCGTGTGGTTAAATCAGTAAGTTAATGCAGTCGTTGCAAAAGAGCAAAAGGATTGAAATTTAGATTATTTTTTATTAAAGGATAAGCATTTTAATTAAAAGGAGAAAGTCACACCTCTCGGTTTAGTTGTAAGAGTGGTGATTTTAAATATAGACACAAGCTAAATTCTATCCACCACAAAATGGAGAAATCTAAGCCTACGTACTTGAAATATATCTAGTCCATAGAGGAGGGGGAAATATCGCCAAGGAGATGACCTGGTGTAGAAATCAGCTGTAACTAAGGCTGCATCTCTACTCGAATAACCCAACCTCTGCTTTATTTTCCTTGTTCTGCAGAAGACTGAGGCCTCAGGCTCCAGTTTGCCCATCCTGTTTCCTCGGGCAGGGCTTTGCGGGGCAATTCCTGCCCTCTGGGGCTTGGGAACTCGCCTTGTTTGTATTTTCACTTGGTGTTGGTTTAAATGGCGTTTTCCTTCGGGCCAGCCAGTCGCAGCCCCGGCGCAAACTGCAGCGTAATGGCAGATGTTGCGTTGTGGTTGAGATAAAGTCCTGTCTCGGGGAGCCTACCCCTTGGAAGGGTGCCCTCGCTTCGGAGAAGCAACTTTTTTTCCTTCCCCTGCTCAGTGGCTGGCGGAGCGGACGCGCTCAGGTGGCCTTTGGACTGCGGGCAGCGCCAACGGCCGACTTGTTGTGCTGCTTTTCCCTTTGCTCCACCAATGTCCTGCGAGTCCTTCGCTGGGTTATCGATCGTTAAGCATTTTTAATCTTTACTGGTGGCTTCTGTGGTGAGCACAAGGAGTTGTCCCACAGAGAACTAGTTAGGAGTATTTAAACAAAAACTCTATTTCATGGGCACTGCTGAGCACTGACTGTTTCATTTCCCTTTCGGTCTGAGGGGCTGCAGAGCTGTTTATGCAAAGTGCAATTTCTATTCTTAAGCTCAATGAAGGAAGAGGGATGTATCTGAAATGCCACAAACTATCCAGAGTGTCTGTGCTGTCTGGGGAGGGGTGGGAGGTGGGCATACAAGACTGAGCTGCTGCAGATCTCTGCTAGCTCCATGAGTGTTTTTGGGGAGTCTGAGACTGCACACTCTTGTAAGGACAGCAAGCAAAGCACAGAGAAGCGGGGTGACCTGAAGCTGTCACCACCACTGTGTCCCTGTGAGAGGAGCCGCGGCCCAGGCCATGGTCTTGTTAAATCCCTTTGTTCCCAGATGAATTTCCAAATTATTTGGGTGCGGTGCCAGAAGCAGAAAGCAGTTGCATCGAGGCTGCAGCTCGTGAGGAGCAGCCAGGGCCAGTGCAGGGGCCTGGGGGGAGCTGCGGCTGCTCTTTTTGGGGCAGCCCCATGTGCCCAGCTCCCAGCCCACACTCCACCAGGGAAGGGGTGCTGGGGGACACCGCTGATTTGCTTTGCATCCTCCTGAAGAGAGCCAACTGCTGCTACAATTGCAAGTGCTCGGAGGCCTCTTTAATCTCTGGGATTTGAAAAACAGATGCAACCTAAACACCTTCGCAGGTCCCTTGCAGCAGGTGGTGGGTTCAGCCCAGATGCTCATTGTTGACCCTGGGGAGGATTCCTTCAGTCCTGGCAGCTCCTTCCATCCCTCTCTGCCTTTCCTGGCTGTCCCTGTGGACCCAGTACTGATCTGTTTTCCTTCCCGGACAGCTGGCAGAAGTCAGCGTGGCCAGCCATCACCCGCCGTGGGTTTTGCAGCCCCCGTTGGGGTATGAATGTCCACAGGAGCCTCTGTGCCTTCTCCTGGGCCCAGCTGCTGTCTAGTTCCTACTTGCACCAACTTGTTGATGGCTGCCTTAGATTAGGTGGTGGTTTCAGATTTATTCATGCCCATGTGAGCCCTTGATATTTTTAAACTTGTATAGCAAGCCTGCCACTCCTGCCCTCTCCTGAAGGAAAGCGCCTGCACGCTGGGCCCTCTCTGGCTTGCAGCCACCCAGCTCCCAGGGGCCGCTCTCCAGGCAGTGACATTTGCATGGACCTCAGACCAGAAAGAGCTTTTGTGGGTTGTGAAAGTAAACCAGCGAGTAGAAACAGATGGCTGTGTTATCAGGTGCTGCAGTCCTGTCTGCACCTGGTGACAGTGGAGTTAAAGTGATATTTTTTTCTCTCTCTTCACCCCCCCCCCCCTCTCCTGCTCAGCAGATCCACTGGAGCTGTGGTGGGAGCCCTGCGCCTGCTCTGCTGCTGTGCCTCCAGCCTGGTGCGTGGGTTATGAGGTGGGGATGTAATTAGCAGAGCTGAGAGGGCTGTGTCCCCCTTGCCATGAGCCGGGCTGTTTAATCAGAAGCTAGACCTGCTCTGAAAAATGGTGTCGGAAGGAGGATCTGTGCCCTGGGACTTGTGACCTTTGAGGACTTTCTCAGACTTTTCTCACCCACTCCAGGGGCTGGAAGTTTCCATACCTGGCCCTGGCTGTCGCTGGGTTTTGCCCCGGGGTTGCTTTGCTTGCCTGGCACCGTGTTCAGTTCCTGGTGAGCCGGGAGGGGAGGGAAGGGGAGCCTGGTTGAAGAGCAGAGAATGCCCTGTGAGAGCTCTGAGTAACCGTAAATAAAAACAAGGAACTTTGAGCATCCATGTGACTAATAAAAGCCACCCGGTCCATTCACAAGGGGCTGATTAATTGGGTAAATCCCTTCCTAGAAGTTGAAGGGATAAACCTTCCCCTCACCCCCTTTGGGGGAAGGAGGAGCTGCATGGGATGCTGATGCCGGGAAAGGCCCTCTCAAATCATCCCTTTTTGTATCCCGAAGGGAATCTGCCTTGTCCAGATACAACAGTTCAACAAGTGCCTGGCGGGTGCCCTGGGGCAGGCGTTTGGTAGGAGCATCCTCTGGGAACACCCTGCATCCGCCAGAGAAAGGGGAATCTAAGGCTGCTCTTACTCACTTGTGGCTTTACTGGAATGGCTACTGGGATTCCAGCTCAGAAAATAAAACCTGTCCTAATAAACAGTGATTCACTTTGCCTGGAGTTAAAAATAAGGTCCTGTCTCCCACGTGGGAAACCAGGCGCTCTCTTCCCAGGGGCAGATCCCAGGGCTGCCACAGGTTTCTCCGTCACTCACCCCCCATCGTTTTCCCCATCTGCCTCTGGAGACAGTCAGATTTGTTCTGGCGTGGCCACATCCTGCACACAGAGCTCGAGTGCTGCTGGAAGCACAGCTGCCTGCCTTGCTCCTCTCCAGGTTTATTGGAATAGAATAGGTGGTTTGTCCCTTCCTTGCTTTCACTGGGATGTTTTTCTGGTGCCGGCAGAGCTCGGACAAGCCCTGGCCGCTCTCATCCTGCTCAGCTTCCATGTTAGCCTCCGGTTTCATCAGCCCTGGAGTCCTGGCCCCGGCCCCTTCCTGGCACCGGTGCCGTCGCACAGGGAGGTGCTGGACGCCAACCTGGCCCCGGTTCCCGGCACTGGGACCCCAGCAGCAGCACCGCAGGAAGGAACTGGGGTGAGGGCCAGCAGCGCTCAGGGCTGGGTCCCCTCTCGTCCAGGGACAGAGCGCCTTGGCCTGCAGGTCCCAGGATGAATGTCGTGGCTTTGTCCCCACTAGAGCCTCCTGGTCCCCTGTGTCCCTGCAAGCAGCCTGGGCTGGGCTCTACCCCAGCTCTCCATCCATACTGGCTGCGAGAGGGATGGAGGGAGCTGGCAGGTCCCCAGGGAGCACTGGAGGCTTTCGCCGCCTCCGCTCCGAGGTGCTGGGAGCCCAGCTCGGGGTGCAGCATGTCCTTCCCCCCCCCCAGCCACTGTGGTGCCACGTTCTCAGCACACACACACACACACACGCCCCCCAGCAGGCGCTGGGGAAGAAGGGGGGCTGGGGGCTGCCCCTTCGGGAAGGGGAGAGAGCAGCAGTAAAAATAACCCCTGGGCCAGCTCCAGCCTGTTGTGGCTTCCTGCGATTTACAGCCCTTCCCGGGGGGAAGAGGAGGCAGGAACCGGCCTGGCTCAGGGCTGGCTTTGACCCTTTCACCACCAGCAGAGAAGGTGCCAGAAGGATCCTTCCTCCCTCCTCCTCCCTCGCTGGCCAGGGCAGGATCCTGGGGAAGGGGATCGTGGGGAGCTCCTGCTCCTGAGCTGCACCCGGCTTCTTGGGGTGGATGTAGAAGGAGAAGCTGCTGGAGTGGATGTGATTTCCCTGTGCCATTCCCGATGCCCCGTGTGCTGGGGGGACAGAGGGACTCAGTCCTGCCTGGGAGGAGGCAGAGATCTCTGCTGCGGATCCCAAAATCCCAGCCAGGCTCCTGTAAGGAGGTGGAGGGAGAAGAGCTGGCAGAGGTGAGCTGGAGCTGCAGGAGAAGGAGAGTTAATGCTGGCTGGGCAGGGCCCCAGGGTGTGAAGGCTGCAGCCGGGGCATGGGGGTCATGCTGTCAAGGTGGGTTCCTGCTGACGGAGCTGGGCTGGCAGGGGTTAATGGGGTGGCTCTTCCTCAACCTCTATATGAGGCTCCCGCTGGCTCTGGGCTCAGTTTGCTGCCGGCAGCCAGAGGAGCAGGAGCTGAGTGAGACCAGAGCATCCCTGCATCCCATCCCTGCATCCCTGTGTGGGCTGAGGTGAGCGAGAGCATCCTCCGCCTGCCGAGCCGGGTGGTTGGGCACCGATCCTGGCAGCGGGGCTGGGCTGGGGAGCGTGCAGGCACGCTGGCTCTGCCGGGGCGAAGCTGGTGGGTGACAGGACTGAGTGTGGGGACACCTTCCCTTGAGCCACCGCAGAGCTCTGCCCAGCACCGGGGGAGGCTGGGGAGCTCATTCCTCGGGAGCACAGGACCAGACAAAGCGCGTGCCTCAGTTTCCCCATCTACGCCAGGGGTGGATGTGGTGTCAGAGCCAGTGGGCTGTGTGTGGAGATGTGTGGGCAGAGGCCTCCCGGGCTTATTCACCCTCTGGTGAGCCCTGCTCTGCCCGGCCCCGTGTCCCTGCTGTCACTGGGGGAGGCTGCGGGGCTGGGGCAGCCGCTGGCAGTGGGGTGGCTCTTCATGGCCGTTCAGGCCTCTTCTGCTCAGCCAAACCATCAGCTTTGGGCATTTACAACCCCCGGCTCAGGCTCCAGACCCCCTTCCCTTGTCACCCACCTCCACCGCCGGGTTCACAGCCCGGACCCACACGGCTGCTCGGGTACAGCTGAGCAAGAGCCATCCCTCCCCAGGGTTAATAAAACCCCATTTGCTGCACCCCCCCGCCACATCAAGCAGGAGAAGTACCTTCCCTGCCAGGCAGCCGAGCTCAGCCTGACTGTGGGGAGCACAGCATGGACACCCCAAAACATCCCCCCGGGCCCGGCTGGGGCAGCTTGCCAGCTTTCCTGAGCACGGGCTTTGTTCTGCTGTCCCAGCACTCGGAAGGATAAGGCGGCAGGCTCCGGTATTTTTTCCTGTTGGAAGCTGCTCCTGGGATGCGGGTGAAGCTGGCGGATGCTCGGCGCTTCTCTCTTCCTGCCCGTGGATTGTTCCTGCCTGGGCTGGCAGGGCTGGGCTGCCTGCCGCCTGCCTGCCTGGCCGAGGGCAGCGCTGCCCATGTGTGGGATCGAGGGGACCCCCGACTCCGCTTCTCCCCCCATCCTTCTCCTGCTGCTGCTGCATCCTCGGTGCTAACCCTGGCTCTCCTCTCTCCTTCCAGGGCCAAATCCAGGAGCCAAGTGAAGCTTCGGGAGCCTCCCCAGCTGCAGCACCGGACCTCCCCCAGCCACTCAGGGGGGAGCAGAGCGACCAGGGGTGTCATTTTGGGGCTGGGGGGTGATGGTGCCCCTGGGCAACCCTCCTCTTGCCATCTGCGCCTCCAGCAACCTGCGCCTCGTGGCCCCTGGCCGCGGTTCCCCCCTGGCCTGGCTGAACCGGGGTCCCGAGTGCCCGCGGGAGCCGGGGGACGGGGGGGGGCGGACGCCCAGCGCCGTGGAGCGGCTGGAGGCCGACAAGGCCAAATACGTCAAATCCCAGCAGGTCATCAACAGCCGTCAGGAGCCGGCACTGCGGGGCTGCTCGCCCCGGCTCTCCCCCCGCGGACGGCGCCTCCTCGCCCGCCAGCAGTGTAATGAGTTGTGTCAAGGCTCGGAGCTGAACCGGGAGGGTCCCAGGAAGCTGCCGTGCCCCCAGTCCCCTGTGTCACGCCGGACCGGCAGCAGGCGCCTGCTGAGACCCGACTCCCTCATCATCTACCGGCAGAAACGGGACTGCCCGGGTGGGGACAAGGAGAACACCAAGGGCTCCGGGCTGGTGCGACGCCTCTTTCAGGGACCCCTCAGAGACAAGCCCCCCAGCTCCCCCCCGGCCAGAGGGCTGGGCGAGGGGCCACCAACCCCACAGAGCCCTGAGACTCCCATGGTGTGGGTGCCTGCGGAGAAGGAGGAGGCGAGGACGCCAGGTGCTGGCAGCGGCGGTGGCAGTGGTGGCATCTTCCCTCTGCCTGGCAGCCCCATGGCGCAGCCCCCCCGGCCCCCCAGCAAGCAGGCGCTGGCTCTGCGTGTCTCCTTGCCGCTCTCAGAGCAGGAACGGTTCTTCAACTACTGCGGGCTGGACCGGGCGCTGGTGGAGCTGCTGGGGCGGGAGCGGTTCGGGCCGGCGGGCTGGGATAACGCCTCGGCTCGGCTCCCCGGCTCCTGCGAGTCGGAGCCTGGGCAGGCCTCGGGGGGCAGCGAGGGGGACGCAGGGCCGGGTGAGGAGGAGCCGGCTACCCGGCTGGGTTCCACCGTCTCAGTGGTGGAACGCAACGCCCGCGTCATCAAGTGGCTCTACGGCTGCCAGAGAGCCTGGGCGGCCGCCAAGGAATCCACTGTCTGAGCGGAGGCAGCTTGGCTGGGGACAGGGACCCTCCCCACTGGCTGGATGTGGCCCCTCACCCTCGCTGGCTGTGGCCAGTGGGCCAGTGGCATCCACGGTCCCCGTGCCATGGGGCTGCCGGTGGCTGGGAGAGCCACCAGGTCTACCCCAGCCCCCAGGCTGAGCACGGTGGGGTCACCTGAGGGGGGGCTGGTGGGGAAGGGGCTCCCCTGGGTGAGTTTCTCCTTGGCCCCAGGGCTGCGCAGGCTGCTGTCCCCCTGCTGTGACCCACCTTCTCCATCCTCCCTGTCTCCAGCCCAGGGCCACTCACATCCTGCCCCAGCTGCAGGTTGGGGGGGGTGGGCAGATCCCAAGCCCCCCGTCACGAGCAGCGTCCACCCCACTGCCCCCTCATCTGCAGAAAAAGGGCTGCTAGGGCCAGAGCAGCACTCAATAAACCTGTTTTTTTGTTTGTTTTTTCTTTTTTTCCTAGCCTGGCAGTGTGTGTGGTTTGTGTGGGCAGAGCCCGGGGAAGGCAGGAGGATGATTTGGGGCTGGGGGTCACAGCTCCCCATCCCCACCGTGAGAGCTGTGCTGCTCCAAAGGGCGATGGGGCAGCTGGGGGACGCGGAGGTGGGGGGGCGAGGGCAAAGAAAGCACCAGGCAGGGCTCAGGGACAAGGGGCACCTCGGGGTCTTTAGTGCAGAAACATCACCGAAACCCACCATGGAGCCCTCAGGCGTGGGCAGGGGGCTGCCCACCGGCGGTGGGGGGGCTGTCCCCACTGCTGGAGAGTCCAGCCGGCACATCCTCCTCTAGTTGTCCTTGGGGGCGTTTTTATTCCGGATTTCGGCCAGTTTGCTGGCCAGGAAGCCCCAGTGGAAGGCTCCTTCCTCCGGCTCCCGCAGGTCGCCACCCTCGTCACCCGGCGGCTCCCCGGGGCTCTCGTCCGGCTCCGGGGGGGGTGCCCCCTTGTCCGGCCCTGACGCTTGCTGCCACTTGGTAGCAAAGAGATCCCAAAAACCAGGTGCCTTCTCGGAGGGGGGAGGCTCAGGCGGCTCAGCAGCCAGCGGGCTGGGGAGAGAACGGGGGTGGGGACATCAGGGTGGGGACCCTTCTTTCCGGGTCTCTCAGTGGCCAGGACTGGGACCCCCCCAAACCCCTCCAAGTTCCCGCTCCGTGCTGGCTCCCCTCCTACTGCCCCCCAGCCCAGCCCCATGGGTATAGGGAAGGGAGAGGGGTGCAGGTGATGGGATGGGGGGATGCCAGGGCCCAGCAGCTCCCAGGGGCTGGATCTGGGCTCTGGGGTCCCCCCCCACCGAGCTGCAACTCACTGGTCTGCACAGGCCTCCGGGCTGAGTAGCTGGTGCTCGTCCTCACGGGTGAAGAGCGATGAAAACGTCCGCCAGCCCCGGGCACCCACCCCCTGCACCTGCGGGGGAGGCAGCACCGGACTCACCGGGGATCTCCAGATCCCACCAGCCCCCCCCCCAGCCCCACCGGCTCCTCCTCACCTTCCTCGCCAGCTGGGACACGGGGCTGGGTCCCTCCTCCATCAGCGCGGGGGGCTCGGCTGTCTCCATCAGCTCAGGGGTGTCTCCCTGCAATGAAGCCCCCCCATAAGGGCAGAGGTGCAGGCAGGGGGAAGGCAGGGAAGTTGGTCACTCCATTTTGGGGGGACCCAGGATTGATGATGACCACCCCCCCACCCCCCCCAACCTACCTCCTCCTGCAGCACCCCGTCCGCCCGTGCCCCCCCCAGGGTCTGCAGCACTTTGGTCTTGTAGATCCGCCAGAAGCCCTGGGTCATGGTGAGGGGCTCAACGGGGACGGGAGCTGGCGGGTGCCGTGGGGAACAGGAGGGGTGCGGGGCTGGGCCCCCCCCCCCCCCCCCCCCGTGCCTTCCCGGTGATCCGGTGGCTTCATTAATGTTTCAGGGGCCACTTCCAATGCACAAAGGGGAACCTGAGCCCAGGCTGAGCTGGGGACAGCGCAGGGGGAGCTGCTCCAGTCACCCCCAATCCCCCCCCTCTGTCCTCCCGCCCCAGCCCCCCAGTGCCCTTCACCCCCAGGGGACCCCCAGGGCTGGAGCCACCCCAAACCCACAGCGCAGAGCAGGCGCTGGGGCTCAGCGCTCCCCCCGCTGTGGGTCCCCATCTATAATTGATTCACCCAGGGTGGAAGAAACACGATCACTGCCGGGACACGGTAGGCTGAGCCCTCCCCAGCTCATCACAGCAGTGACCGGGGCAGCACGGGACCCGGTCACGCCCTGCCCCGAGGCCAGACCCTGTGTCCCACTGCGGGGACAGCCTGGGGACGGCTGCCACCGGGTGCTGGGGACCCTTGGGGACGGGTCTGTCCCCCGGGGCCATTCACCGGCTCAGCGAGGCCGGAGGGCAGCGCGGGGGGGAGGGCGTGGCCTGCTGCTTCGTGGGCGTGGTCTCGTGGGCGTGGCCTCCCGCCTCAGGGCAGGGTTTGCCGGTTTGCCAACTCGTGGGTGGAGCCTGCCGCGGGGTGGGCGGAGCCTATAGCTTAGCGGGCTCGGTTCCGCCGCTTCGTGGGCGGAGTCTAAGGCTTCGCGGGCGGGGCGCGGCCTGCAGACCTCCGCGCCTGCGCGCTACGGAGCAGGGTGCCGGCGTGCGGCCGCCATGTCGCCGCGCAATGGCCGCCGCACCGGCGCTCACCGGGCCCACTCGCTGGCCCGGCAGTGGAAGGCGAAGCGGCGCCGCCGTGACCTGGACGAGATCCACGGGGACCTGAAGCCTGAGAACGCCGCTCGGCTGCTGCGGCAGGAGCCCGACCCCGACCTGCCGGGCTGCGCCCAGTTCTACTGCCTCCACTGCGCGTGCGTGCGGGGGTCCTGGGGGGGGGGGGGGGGGGGGGGATGTCCCCGTATCGGGGGGGGGGGGGGTCCGGGATGCTCTGATCCCGGGTGGGCCTGGGGACGGAGGGCTTTAACCCTTGGAGGGGTTTTCCCTGGTGCAGGGGGTTGTCTGGCCCCTGCGGGGCGGGGGGGGGGTGGGGATGGTGGTGTCTTGGTTCTGGGGGGGGGGGGGTCTGTGGCTTTTGGGAGGGGGTTGTCCTGGTCCCGGGGTGCTCCCTGAATCCTGGGGGGAGACTAGGGCTGGGGAAGGGGTCTCTAAGTCCCGGGGGGAGCTTGGTCTGGTCTCAGCGGGGACCCTGACCCATGGGGGACTGATCCCGGGGCGGGGGGGGGGGCCTGGCCCCCTCCATAGGGCTGTCTGCATCCCTGCTCCCATCTCGGGGCCCCCTGACCCCCAACCTCTTATCCCCCTCCTCCCAGGCGCTACTTTGTGGACCTGACCAGCATGAAGGAGCACTTCAGGTCCAAGGTGCACAAGAAGAGGTAAGGGGGGTCCCGAGTGGGGTCCTGTGCCCTGCCTGGGAGCAGGCTGCAGCCCCTCGCCCCCCCTGCTCCGGCGGGGTGGTGGTGCGAGTTCTGGGCCGGTCTTGTTTTGAGGAGCTGGGGTGGAAGGCTTCCAGCCTCCTCTCTGCCTTCCCCGCAGGCTGAAGCAGCTGCGGGAGGCCCCGTACACGCAGGAGGAGGCAGAACGTGCCGCCGGGATGGGCTCCTACATCCCCCCGAAGAAAGTGGAAGTGCAGACCCAGCCGCTCGAGGAAGTTGCCGAGATGGAGGCGTCCAGCTGAGCCCAGCGGACCGAGGGGCCGGGCAGCTCCCTAAGGGCGTCTTTGTCCTCAGCTTTCCGAGAAAAACATGCCCCGGCGCAGCCTGCCAGCAAGCGAACGCTCCGCTCCTCCTGGCAGCCCTCCTCGCCAGAGCACTAACGAGGAGAAGGAGCCAGCGGGCCCCCGGGTGCCCTCACTGTGTCCCCCCTTTCTCGGGGAAGGGGCACGCCGCTTGTTCCCTGAGCGCTGGCGTGACTGTACGCTCGTCTCTTTGCTTTTAGAGCGGTTTTAGGCCTCACTTCTCGGGTCAGGGGTTGACCGTGGTGTGTGGTCGCCCATTAAAATGTCGACCAACGTGCTGGCGGTGTCGAGAGCTCTCTGTGAGTGTGACCCAGGCCCTGGCTGGAGGGTGGCAGCTGCCCCTTGGCATGGAGGGCGACCTCTTGGTGTTGTGCTCTTCCCAATCACGCAGAGGGAAATATTACCAGTGTCTGTGCCAGCCCAGAGAAACAGCCCCATCCCGGTGCTCCTGCCCTGGCAGGGCAGTGAAGCTCCTGCTTTGCCCTCCTCACAGCGGGGTTCCCAGCCTATTGGTAGCAAATACGGGGTTGCTTTTTTGGGGGGGAATATGTGGTCGAGTAAACTCTTCATCAAGCACTCAGGTCTTGTAGCAAGCAGCTCGTTGTGGTGCTGGCCTTGCCTGTTTGGGCCTTGAGAGGGGAATGTTGGTGTCCCCCAGGCAGGGGCAATTTTAGGCTCCTGTCCCCCTCAAATCTAATGCTTGCAAGTGATTCCATCTTCCTAGAGGGCTGGGGCTGCGTGTGTGTGTGGTGTGAGCAGCCTCCCCCCTTCACCACCAGCAGCCCGCTGCTGCCATAATCCCACCGGTGACCCTGCCTGGCTCCGGGGGGACTTCGTGTGACAGTGCCACCACCCGCTGCTGCAAATTCCTGCCGAGTGGGTCCCACTGCTGCAGCCCCCGCAGCAAAACCCTCAGCAGGCCAGAGGTTTGTCCCTCCTGCCGAGCTGGGAACGGGGCGCTGGGCTGGAGCAGCAGCAAAGCAGAGAGACACCGCAGCTGTGCTCAGCAGGGAAGGATTTATTTCCACACCGCCTGCCCGGATTTAACCCCCCCGCCCAGCCCTAGGAGTGGGGGTTTAGTGGGTGCGAGGGGGCTGCAGAGGTTGCAGACCCCATCCCCACGGGATGCGCCTGCCCAGGGGACACGTCGCCGACCCCGTGTCCCCCCAGCCCTGTTGTTACTGAGGCCACTTGGGCCCCAGCCTTCCCCTCGGCGTTACCTAACAGCGCTCGGCGCTGACCTCCTTTGTGTGGGGCTGCAGCATGGTCTGCGTGGGGAGGGGGAGGGGGAGGGGGCGGGCTGCGTGGCCACCAGTGGGGTACAAGGGGGGGCCCCCCCCCCAGGCCGCTCTGCTTGCCTGGGAAGATGGAGATGAATGGGGTCTGTCTGTCCGTTCAGCTTCTTGTTGTTTTGTGGCTGGATCGTGGTGGCTTCGCCGGCAGCTCTGGAGCCGGGAGGTGGCTCCTCCGTTCTGCGGTTGTTGAACCGTCTCCCAAAAGCGGGGACAGACAGGGGGACAGAGAGGCGGGTGCCCCCCAGCCCCAGGGCGTCGCACCGCCCAGGAGCGGAGGGAAGGGCTGGATGTGACGCAGATCAGCTGGAAAGGATCCGCAGCTGGCAGCTCCCTTCAGGCGGGGGCCAGCGGGCAGAGGGGGACCCCCACATCCCTTTGGGGACCATCCCTGGGGCCCCCTCCACCAGCCTCTTCCTCACGGTTTTGGGGGGGCTTGGGTGGGGCTGGCCATTCTGCGGGCGCTGTAGAAGGAGAGGCAGAGCCCGGCGGCCGCCAGCAGCAGGGCCAGGGGGGTCAGCAGCCGCCCCCCCGGCTCAGCCCCCCGCCCTGCCGCCAGCTGCATCTGCGGGGGGAAGAGAGGAGAGGAGAGTGCTGCAACACCCTGACCCCCCAAACACACCCCCCCCCCCCCCCAGGGGACAGGGGCCCTGGGGCTGTGCCCTGAACATCCCTATCGCCCCCAGCTGGGATGGGGGCAGCTTTGGGGGGCTCCCCCCATGTTTTTGGGCTGCCTCATGCAGCGCTTGCAGGGCTCCGCAGGCATCACGCTCGCCTGGAGCCAGGATATGGCTGGGCATGGCTCCCGAGTCTTGGGGGGGGGGGGGGTCCCCACAGGCTGCTCCCCCCCCCCACAGCCCCAACTCACCCCTTACCTGGAGCAGACGGAAATACCCCGGGGTTAAGCGTCTGGGGCGGATGATCATGGCGCAGAGGGGAGCAGCAGGATCAGGCCCCACAGGTCAGCAGCAGCGGGGCTGGGGTCGTCCACCTTTCCCCCTCTCCCTCCGCCTTCAACCTCGGGGACACCCCCTGACCGAAGCGAAAAGGCGGGGGGGGGGTGTCTGTGTCTGTCGCCCGCCTGCCAGCCCCGCAGCCCCCCTCGGAAAGGGCGGCACGCACCCGGCGAGCGCTGAGCCGCTGTCAGCCGCAATCAGCGCCCGCTGCTCCCCCAAGCGCACACACCAGGGCGGGGGGGGGCACGGGCACCGAGGCGCTGGCTGGGGACGAGGGGGGGGGGTCAGCACCAGTCCCAGGGTGGATTTGGGGGGGGGGTGGAGGGCAGGAGAGCCAGGTTTAGCAGGGGCAGCCCCTCCACAGGCCTGCGCGTGGGTTATCCCCTGTCTCAGTTTCCCCACTTGTGGAGGAAGGGGTGGGGGACACCCCAAAATCCCCAAGTGGTGAGGAAAGGGGGGAGCAGGGGCTCCCCCCTAGGCTCTCCTAGGGATTTGTGGGGGTCAAACCCACAGAGCACCTGGCTTCTGGGGGGGGGGGGTGCCCACTAGTGTCATGAGTTCTGTCAGGACTCAGCCCTCGTCGCCTGCGGTGGGGAGGGGGAGACACCTCATCTCACTGCTGAGGGGAAACTGAGGCTGGAGGGGGGTGTGGGGTGTTTCCCCCCTTGGGTGGGGGGGGTGGGTTTCGGCAGCCGTGCGTCACCGTCCGGCCCGTGACTCACTGGGGCGCGTCGCGGCGCCTCACCCCGCCGGGGTCGGGTGGTTCTGGGCGGGCGGCCCCGGGGAGGCCGCGGTGAGCGGCACGCGGGTGCGCCAATGGGGCCGCCCGGCCCCGGCGCAGGTGAGCGGCCGCTCCCGGTTCCGGCCTGGCCGCCATGGAGCCCGTGGGCAACTGGGACCCGGCGCGGGCGGCTGCCTGGCTCCGAGGTGAGACCCCACACACACCCCCCCACCCCTCCTGTCCTCCAACTCAGGGTGGGGGGACCCCTGGGGTGGGTTGTCCCTCACTCCTTGTCCCTTTTTGGGGGGGGGGGGGGGGTGGTCCACAGATTGTGACGGCGATGGGGTGAGGGTCCGGCCATCCAGGCTGAGACCGGGCAAACTCGTTGCACGAAGAGGTCTCTCCCGGCAGCCAGGCGTCACCCCCGGGGTCACCCAGCTGGGGGTACTGGTTGGGGGGTGCTGGGCCCCCCCCCTCCACCCCCCCAGCATCCAGCTGGCTCTGTGGGCAGGGCTGGACGCGGCGGTGCAGGGGTACCCCTTCGAGGCGTGGGGGCTGGCGGGGCCCCAGCTGCTGGGGCTGTCGGCGGGGGCCCTGGAGAAGTTGGGGGTGCGGCGGCTGGGGCACCAGGAGCTGCTGCTGGAGGCCGTGGAGCAGCTCCGCGCCCTGGTGAGTGCTGGCACCCATGGGTGCTGCGGGGCTCCCGTGGAGGAAGGAGGGGGGGGGGATGTGGGTGAGCCCGGGGTTGGGTGGAGAGGGGGACATGGGAAAAGGTTTGGCTGGAGGCGGGGGGACGTGGGGGCATCTGGCACTGGGTGGAGGTGCGGGACATGGGGGTACCCTGGGCTGGAGGGGGAGGATGTGGGGACACCTTGGGTTGGATGGAGGGGGGACACGGGGGGCACTCTGAGCTGGATGGGAATGGGGATGTTGGGGCACCCTGGACTGAGTGGAGGGGGACACGGGGGCATCTTGAGGTGGTTTGAGGGGGGACACGGGGGCACCCTGGGCTGGATGGAAAGGGGGATGTTGGGGCACCCTGGACTGGGTGGAGGGGGGGTGTGGGGGGCACCCTGGACTGGGTGGGAGGGGATGCAGAGGCACCCTGAGCTGGGTTGAGGTGGGACATGGGGGCAGCCTGGGCTGGATGGAGGGTGGAATGTGGGGGCACCCCAAACTGGGAGGGGGGGGATGCGAGGACACCCTGGGATGGGTGGAGGCGAGATTCAGGGGCACCCTGGGATGGGTGGAGGTGGGGATGTGGAGGTGCCCTGGAGACCCCCACTGCCCTCCCGTCCCCCGGCACCCCTGTGTGTGTGTGTGTGTGTGCCCCCCCCCCCCCAGGACACAGGGCTGGCGAGCACCAGCCTGCGGACGCTGACGGAGCGGCTGTGGGAGCTGGCACAGGGCACCCAGAGCCTGGTGCTGGGGGGGCCGCCAGCGGGGGCTGCCCCCCAGCCGCCCCCCCTCGCCCTCCTGGCCCGTGTCGTTGACCTGGTCGGTGCCGCCAAGGAGCTCTTCTCCTGGCTCAACAGGTCCGGGGTGGGTGGGGGGTACCTGTGGGTGCTGGGTGCCCCCCGTACATGGTGCTGAGCTCTCTGTGTGTGTCTCCCCCGCACTGACCCCCCCCCTCCAGGTACCTCTTCTCCACCCTCAACGATTTTTCAGCCAGCCGGGACATCATCCTGCTCTGCACCCAGCTGGCAGAGACGCTGCAAGCGGTGGGTGCCCCAAGGCCAAGGTGATGGGCATGGTGTCTAGGTGGGGTGGGGGGAGCCAGATATCTGCTCTCCTGTACCCCCCAAACTCTTCTTGCTGGAGAGGGGAGAGAGCTGGGGTTAGAGGGGGGGGGATGTGGTATGGGGGGCGGGGGGGTGTTCCCCACTGGGCCAGAGGGGGGCTGCGCCATCCTGTCCCACTCAGCCCAGCATCTTGTCCCCCCCCAGGACTGTCCCACAACTGAGAGGGACGGACAGATCCTGCGTATTGTAAGTGCTGGGTGAAGAGGGGGTGGCAGGCATTGGGGGGGGGGGGGGGGGGGCCTGCCAGGCCCTCAACACCCCCCCCCCCGGCCCCGTTTTAACCCACAGTGCCAGCACATCGTGGGCATCTGCGAGAGCATCGTGGGCTGCAGCCCCCCGGCGCTGCTGGACCGCAGGGCTGTGCTGCAACGCGTGGGGCTGGCGCTGCCCCCCAGCCCGCGGGGCAGCCCCCCAACATCCCCCAACACCCCGACGCTTCCCTCTGGACTGTGGGGGAGCCCCCCAGCATCCCCTGACACCCCGACGCTGCCCCCCAGCCCATGGGGGAGCCCTCTGATGTCCCCTGGCACCCTGACGCTGCCCTCGGACCCCCTGGGGAGCCCCCTGCCACTCCTCACCGCCCCACTGGTGAGTCCCCACCGCCTCGGTGCCCCCCACTGCCCTGGGACCCCCCTGCACCCCTCTCATGCCTCCCTCCCATCCCCGCCTAGGGCCTCGAGATCACCTCCACCAGCTCCTGCCTGCACTTTGTGTCTGCGACCACCTCGGAGGTGAGTGAGGGGCTGCCCCTCCCAGTCTGTCACCCTCCCGTGCCACCCTGTCCCTCAGTCACCCCCCCTGCTTTTAGCGGAGTGGGGGGGGCAATACAACCTATCCAGCTGGATCTTACAAGCCTCTTAGGGCCCTAAATCTGCACCCCCCCCACCCCAACCCAGAGCTGGGGGTGGCTGCCTGCAGCTGAGACCGTGCAACTCGTCTCATGAGTGAGCACAGCCTGGGCCATGGTGGCAGCCCCCCTCCACACCCCGCTCCCACCAGCCGCTCTGGCTGGTGCTGTGCAAGGTCAGGCTGCTGGTTAATGGTTAACACCCCCCCACACCCCCCCAGTTCTCCCCAGTTGGGAGAGCTCCTGAGTTGGGATTAGCTGGGGGGGCACAGGGGGGAGTGCCTGGGGCTGGGCACCCCGCTCCCACCCTGCCTCTGCCCCAGGCCTTGGCTGCCTACGGGGACTACATCCTGCCTGGAGACGAGATCGTGCAGGTCAATGAGCAGGTCGTGGTGAGTCGGGGTGGACGGGGAACTGGTTTCAGCAGTGAAGTCGTGGACGGGGAGCTGGTTTCAGCAGTGAAGTCGTGGACGGGGAGCTGGGAGGATTTGGGGGGACACAGGGACTGCAGACGGGAGGATCCGGGAGGCACACGGGAGCTGTGATCTGCAGAATGTAGGAGTCCGGGCTGGGGAAGGTCTGGGGGACACAGAAGCTGCTGCTGGGAGGGTTTGGGGGGGGCAGGAGCTGTGGGGTCGGGGGCAGCCATGGGGCTGGGGCCGTGTCCCGCAGCTCACCAGGGTGCGGGTGCAGGTGGGTTGGACACGCACCAACCTGGCAAAGAAGCTGCTGGAGAAGGCGAGCGGGGTGACACTGGTGCTAAAGAAGATCCCCCTTGACCTGCCCGGTTCACCCTCCTCTCCCAGGCAGCAGGTAGCGATCCCAGTGCTCCCAATACGGCCCCAGTGCCACAGCAATGCTCGGAGCTGGGCATCTCCCAGCACGCTGGTGGTCCCTAAAGCTCTGGGGGGCCACGGTGGGATGCGGGCTGGCCCTGATACTCCCTCTGCAGCTCCCAGGAGCTTTTTCGGACGCTGCGGATCCTCCCAGTGCCAGGAGCAGCGACTGCCCCGGCAGCCCCGTGTCCCCGACCTCCAGGTGAGCCCCATCCCCTGACACCCCGACACCCCGAGCCCAGCCAGCACGGAGGTGTTTGGGTGCACCCTGCCCAGCTCTTTTGGGGTACCAGCAGCAGGGCAGCTGCCTGCACGCGGCCCGGGAAGCTGCCAGTAGTCTTAAGGAATGAAAAAAAAAAAAGTGGTTGTGTTTGTAATTCATTCACTTGGTAACGTTTTAATGGGGTGGAAACTATATTTAGCCATGACCCTTCTCTCCCGGAATGGAAAGGCGTGCGTGGAGCCGGCGGCAGCGAGCTGGGCAGGAGCTGCCAGGCTCGGCTCGGACCCTGCCGGGAAGTGCGGAAGCTGGTGGGGTTGGTAACGAGCCACCACCACCACGTTGCCTTCAGCCCCACTCCTCCTCGGGCAGGGAGAACCGTGGGTGCCCCAAGCGAGTGTGGGGACAGCCGGAGCCCGACAGCGGGACCCCCGTGGCGGTCGAGGGGGTTTGTGGCTCAGGGATCCCTTTTTCCCCTCAGCGCTGCTGCCGATTTGGACTCGGGGCCAGACTCGGCGCTGGACCCTGCCACTGAGGAAGAGGAGGGAGAGCACAAGCAGGACTTGAGGCTTCCCGGGGTGGCTGCGGGGGAGCTGCCGGGGCTGCCCGGCCACGGTAGGAGGGGAGCGGAGGGGGTGTCCAGGGACGGAGTGGTTTCTTCCCCTGGGACAGGAGGCTGGAGCCCCGCTTGCTGTTTGCAGGTGCTGCGGAGGAGGAGGAGACAGCGTGGGAGGGTGGCACCCCACCGAGCACCCCGTGCTCCTCGGGCACCCCTGCTGCCGCCGGACCCTGCGCTGCGGAGCTCAACCCCACGGCGGGGGCCGGGGGCGCAGAGCCTGGCCAGCTCCCCAGGGAGGTGAGAGCTGGTGGGAGAGAAGGGGGGGACATGCAGGGCTTCACGTCCCACCTGAGCTGGGAGGCAAAGTGCCCATCCCTGGGGTGGGTTCTCCTCCAAGCAGGCTGTTACGGGGTGTGTGAGTTGGGGGGGGCGGTCCCTAAGGGGCTGTGGGTGCTGCTGGATGGGGGGGGGCTCAATCATCCCTAACCACTCACCTCTCTTCCCCCAATCCAGGACAGCCCCCAGACAGGACGCAGACCAAAAGGTGAGCGGGACCCTGCCAGGGCTGGGGGGTCTCCCCCTGCTTGCTCCTCCTTGCCTGCTCTTGACACCACCGCCCCCCTCTGCCCCCCCCCAACGCTGTGGCCAGCAGGAGTGGCAACCAGGCTGAGCCGCCGGCGGGTCTCGTGCCGGGACTTGGGCCGGGTGGACTGCAATGGCTGGCTCCTCAAGAAGAAGGACCACGTGGGCTTCATGGCCCAGAAGTGGAAGCGGTGCTGGTTCGTGCTGAAGGGCCACACGCTCTACTGGTACCACCACCCCAACGTGAGTGGGGACAGGGGGTGTCCTTTCCCCCACCCACCCGACCTGAGGCAGCCGGGCTTTCCCATCCCCAGCGCCGGGGTGGGTGATGGCCACGGCTGTGTCCCTCACAGGATGAGAAGGCTGCGGGGCTCATCAACGTGGCCACCTACGACCTGGAGAGCACGAGGGAGCAGAAGAAGAAATAGTGAGTGGGGTCTGTCTCACCATGGACCTCCCGGGTGGTGGTGGAAGAGCGGGATGCTGTCCCGAGGGCATGTGCTGAGGAGCCCTGCTGGGTACCACCTCTGTGTCCCCGTGGGGATGGTGGGGTCCCCGTGGGGCTGGTGGGGTCTCCGTGGGGCTGGTGGGGTCCCCGTGGGGTTGGTGGGGTCCCTGTGGGGTTGGTGGGGTCCCCATGGGGCTGGCAGGACTGGCCATCTTGCGATACGGGAGCCCACGCTCCAAGCAAAATGTGCATTGTGCTTACTGGTGTTATGTGGGACAAGGCTGAGGACTGGAGCATCTCCAAAGGCAGGAAAAAGCCCCAAACCCCTGGGCTGGGGCGGGGCGGGGGGGCTGCGGTGCAGGGGAGGCTGGACGAGGGCTCGGGGCTGGCTCCAGTGCTGGGTAACCGCAGCAGCAAAGGCAGCGGCCTGCTCGTCCTCCTCCAGCGTGTTCCAGCTCTGCCATCAGAAGTACAAGCCCTTCATCTTCGCCGCAGAAACGCTGGGTGATTTGAGCATGTGAGTAACACACCAGGCGGTGCCGGTCCCACCACACCGTGCTGGCTGTGACCCTCTGTCTGTCTGTCCATCCTTTCCTTCCCCAGGTGGGTCAGTCACCTAATAACAGCCAAAACAAAGTACACGCTGGCCCACCAGTCAGTCCCGGACAGGGAGGAAGGTAACGAGCTCTTTCCAGGGTGGGAGACAGAGTGGGTTCCCCCGTGGGAGGTGGGGAGCCGTGGGTCCCGGTGGGGCAGCCGTGCCCGGCGCTATGGCCCCGGCGTGGGAGCTTTGCCCGTGATTTGGGGGGAAATGTGAGAGTTGCTCCCTGAGAGGAGGGCCGGCGTGATGCTCAGCCCTGGGGAGGGGGTAGCCCGGGGTTTCCCGCTCCCTCTGCTCCCACTGTCCTCCCCCGTGGCCTCCTCCAGACTGCTACAGTGAGACAGAAGCGGAGGACCCTGACGATGAGTCCCCCAGGCACGGATGCGACTCGGTGAGTGGCCCTGGGGGACATCCTGGGGAGGGGACGGAGGATTCTTGTCTCACCTCCCACCCGTCTCTCCCCCAGCCAAAGAAGAAGCTGCAAAACGCCCCGGAGAAAGCCCAGCTCTTCGCAGCCGGCGGCGAGCCCAGCAGCGCAGCCAGCAGCCCCCAGGGCAGCCCCCGGCCCTCCTCGCCCATGGGTAGGGGCTGGGGGGGTGTGTGTGTGACATCTGTCACCCTGTCACCTCGTGTGCCCTTTCACTGAAGTCAGGGCCTCCCTCTTGTGGACCCGGGGTGGGCGACTCAAGTTGGGATGTATTTGAGTGCAAACCACGGAGTGTCTCGGGATGCTCTCGGGGCAGGGGCGCGTGGGAGGGGGGAGCAGCCCCCAGAGGGTTTTGGGGCCCCCCCTCCCTGCTACGGTGCCCCTTTTCCTCACCCAGACCCCGCCGGGGAGGATCTCGAGTGCCTGATGCGGTGCCTGAAGCAGGGGGGGGTGTCCCTCATCGGGCGGCAGCGGTTCCTGACGCAGGAGCAGTGCCGCAAGTCCTTCATCCGGCGCAACAAGAACCCCCACATCAACGAGAAGGTGCACGCGGTGCGGGCCCTGCAGAGCACGCTCAAGGTGGGAGCCCACCGCTCCCCTGACCCACCCCTCCGCCCCCCAAAATCCCCCCGTCGCTCATGGGAAGCCACCCCAAAACATGCCTTTCCCCTCGGCAGGCGAAGCTGGTGGAGCTGCAGGCTCTGGAGCAGCTGCTGTGCGACGCCACGCTCACCTCGGAGAAGTTTACGTGCTGGAAGGAAGAGCACCAGGAGCTGTACCAGGAGCTGAGGGAGTGGTGGGCACGGCAGCAGGACCAGGATGGCAACGGGGGGCTCGGGGCGAAGCATGAACCCCCTGAAGAGGCTGTCGAGCCCTAACACCCTGCCGGGACCTCTCGCATAAATTGCTGCTGAAAAAAACCCCACGGTGCTGCGGGAGAAAAGCGGGTGCTCTGCCCGTGCTGGGGGGGGTGCATAGCGGGATTGATGACATTTTTGGAGACAGCCCCCAGCACGGACTTGCCACAGGGGACACAGCTTCTGCTACATCACCCCCTCCCTGGGCTAGGACGTCGCAGTGACAGTTGCTTTTTTTTTCAAGGACGGTTTGCCTTGGCTGCACCTTGGCCATTTCCTCCAGGAAAAAAACTGGCCAAGGTCCCTTCTGCTGTAAATAAAACTGTGTCAACGAGGGCTGCTTGCGCCACAGCATTTTAGTGCTGAAATGTCCCTGAAGTGACAGCCAGCCCCCACCCGTGCCATGTGCCACCATCCTCAAGGGGCTGTGGCATCCCTCTGTGCCCCTGCTCTCCCCTCCCCGTGGGCTGCACCATGGTGCTGGCACCCACCCGTGGGGTGGGGGGACAGGGATGGGCTCTGATGGCACTGTGAGGCCAGGGGAGGTATTCTGGGGAGGGCTGGGGTGCTCAGGGGTCTTTGTGCAGCTCACAGAAGGAGAGGATGGGGCAGGAGGGTGAAACAGATGTGGTCAGCCTGAAAATGGGGAACAGGTCCTGCCCCTCCCTGTGCCACCCGTCCCCTTACAGACATGCTACAGCTGGGTAAGGGGATGGCCTTCATTCAGCTGCAGAGGTTAAAACCTGCATAAGGATTAAAGCACAACCAAGTAACAAGCAAGAAAGCATCGACACCAGCTTGCTTTTGAGTGAAAAATTACCAGCGAAGAGGTCAAGATGGGGAAGGGACCCACCTTTTCCACCCAGTGACTGTCTGAGGGGTGCAGGCTGGCCGCAGCGGGAGGCTGGGGAGCTGCTGTCGCCTCGCAGCAAGCGGCATCACCTCGCGACAGGCACCAGTCTGTCCCAGTGCCTCAGTCACTTGCCCCGTACGGGGCAGCAGCCGGCCCTGCAACAAACCTTCCCCCCCCCCTCTTCCAGCAGCAGCTGGCGGCCAGGCAGCCTCCAGCCAGCACCTCTGCCCCCCCCGCCGCTCCAGCCCGGGCAGAGACACGTCCCCAGGTGGAAGCCGCCTGCCAGGGGGGGTCTGCGGGCTGGCCGAGCTCCGGCGCGGCCGGGGGTAACGAAGGGCCCGACAGCTCCCGGGCAGCACCGACCTGACCGGCCGAGCGGGCTCGTGAGGGGGACCGGGGGTGGGGGGGGGCCCGCCCCGGCTTTGCCCCTCAGCGCGGGGGTATGGGCTGCCTGGGGGGACTCCGGAGGGGCGGTGGGGCCTGTGCGAGCCGTGGAGGGGGTGAGGGGATTTTGGGGGAGGAGTGAGGGGATTTGGGGGTAACAGCAGGACCGCTCCTCGCTGCCTCCCCGCCGCCCGCCCACACACACTGCGCATGCGCGGAGGGCAAGGGCCAGACCACCCCCCGCCCCCCCCACCTCCCTCCTTCTACAGGTGGCGGCCGCGGACACTTTTCCTCCGCCGAGAAAACCGCGTCGCTCCCTCCGCGAAGTGACCGCGGTGGGCGGGGGATCGGCGTTCCGGAGAGCCAATGAGCGAGAGGTAGGGGCGGGGCCGGCGCGCCCGATAGGCTGCGGTGCATGGAAAGGCGGGTAAGGCCCTGCCCCTTCCCCCCGCCCCTCGCGGCCGTAACGGTCGCGGCGCGCGAGGCAGCGCGAGCGCCACGGTGGAGGCAGGTGAGGGGGGGGTCGGGCCTGCCCGGGAGCCGTCCTGGTGTGGGGCAGCGCCTCTCCCGGGCTCCCCCCCTCCGTGAAACCAGCTCTCCTCCTCCGTCCCGGGCAGCGGAGCGGCCCCTCGCCCGTCAGGGACCGGCCCCTCGGGGTCAGGCTGCCCCTTCCAGGCGGTTGGGCCCTCCCGCCTTCTTCCCCTCTCTTTTTCCCTTCACCCAAATCACTACTCTTCTCTCCATCCCCTCCTGGGGGGCGAAGAGCTTCCCCCCCTCCCTCGCCTGGCTTTGCATCACTCCACTTACCCGCCAAACTTATCTCCCTCCATCGGGTAGAGCGCTGCTCCCCCTCACTTCATCACCCCCCCCCTGCTCCCCTTCCTCTTTCTCCTCCGTTTTTATTTTGCACATGTTTCTTCCCACCCCCTCTGCAGGGTCTGCCGTGTGCCCGCTACTGGAAGGGGGTGGTTTTTAGGATGGTGTGAGTGCTTTCTAGGGGTGTGTGTTTTGTGAGAAGGGAGTGCTGAGTGAGGTGGGAATGCTTTGATTGCTTTGTGTCTTTTATTTCAAGAGCCCATGCTTAAATTTCCCTGTTCTAACAGCCTGACTCTGGTGCTGGAGACTGAGATTTAAACTCAGGAATGTCTGAAGCATACCTAAATTAAACAACCACCACTACATTTAGCTAGAAGCATTTTATTTCTTTGCTGAGTGAAATGCTGCTTCGGGTTCATTACCCTATTGTATTCCCGCTGTCCGTCCTATGTTGTAAAATCTGTATGTGTATGTTTTCTAAGAATTAATGGTTTCTGCGAGTTCTTTGAGTCAGTTAAGCAAAAATCTGTAAGAGCTGGCAATCGAGGATTTTGTATTTGGTGGAGTGGAGAGAGAGGTCTTGAGTTTCAACAGTGAAGCCTGAGAGCTGTAAATTATACTGGCATCATCAGAGGCAGGAAATTCACTGTCTGAAGTACTCAGATAAGCAGATAAATTAAACCAAAGCTCTGGATAGATCATGATTGCCATTTATGGAACAGCAACATGAAGTTCTGAATGACTGCATTTCTGCTTGTAGTTGCTTGGTGACCTCTACAGAGGGCAGAAATGAACTGGTTTAGAGCTAAGATTTTTTTTAAAGGGAAATTTTTACTCTATAGCCATAAAGCCAGTGTGTAGGTACCATGGTGACTGATGCTCTATAAATAACTACAATGGGGATAACACATGCCCCAGTTGAAAGGCGCTGATGAACTGCTGCATACCTGCAGAATGTTGCAAACAGGAACTCTCCTCATTTCTCAGGCATGAAGAAAACCTACAATAACTGCAAGGGTTTTCTAAATATTGTCTCTGTTGCTGCGGGGATGAAACAGAGATACTCTTGCAAGGAGATGCTAATTAAATACGAATTACTGTGTTACTCTGAATGAAGAGCAGCTGATGTGTATGTACCCTTCACTTGGTTAGTGGGAACAGGGTTTAGTTTATGCTGATTTAAAATATTATTTTTATTTATTGCCCTGTAGTTCACTGGACAGGTAAGATGGCTGCTCTCGAGAAACATCCAGACCTGAGGCTTCAGCAGAACAATCCGTCAGGTAAGGACAGTTCCTTTCTTTAAAGCACTGTTGCTGTCGGATCCTGTTTCAGTTTCTGTGAGGAGACAGATGGCCCTGAGAGGAGTTCTTTACCAAAAGCTTTTTATTAAAAAAACCCAATGTCTTGTTCCTGCAAAATGAAATAATTGCATGGGTATGCAGGGGTAGAGAATCATTTGATAACGAAGCTATCTCTTGATAACTGGTAAATCTGGAAGAGTTCTTAATGGTTAATGCAAAAATGTATCTTTAATTTAACCAGTTTTGCTGTGCACCAATGCTGCTGCTCTTTTTAGTCTGAGTACCAGAGTATCAGCTGGGTGTAATAACACCAAACTTATCAATGGGGATATAATTTACTGCTTTTGCATTCTGACTTCCATAACAAGATTGATTTTCAGTCTCCTCTTGATATTATTTGACTTCCCCGTGCTTGCTGCCATTTCCTTTTGCAAAAGAGATTTCTTTAGCAACAATATGAGGAGCTGAGCAAGGATCAGTTTGGGTTTTGGTAGCACAGGTAATTAGATGTGGCTTAAGTAGGTGTACTAAAAGATTTTTCAGTCTGTTGTCTAAAACATAAATATTCCTGACTTTTTCTCTCCAGATCCCATCACCAGTCAGAAGAGTCAGTTCTCTGACTGGAAAACGCCCATGTTGTCTGTGAAGTTCCAGAGCCGTGTCAGTCGCTGTTCCAGTGTGGCCGACAGCGGGGATGGGGGCATTGGGACCTCCTGCTCAGACAGCACAGAAGGTGATGGTCAGATCACACAGCAACAGCCAAAGACTTTAAGTTTTCTTAGAAGACAGGCAAGCATTAAATGGCCTGATATTACTGAACCCTAGAATGTAAAACCTGGGGAGAGCAGAGCCTGTAATGGTGTTTGGAGACTATTTCAGAACCAGTGCCTCAGTACACAGATATGTTGCCTGAAATATAAACAAGGGATTAAGGGACCTGCTGTTTCTCTGAGCTAGTTTGGTTATCTTCTAACCGTAATAAGCATTTTTAACTGACTAAGAGTCACCTTGGTTATTTGCTGGTTCATATTGACCAACAAATGATTTATCAGCAAGTATGTTGTGATTCGATTTTTGAAAGAAATAATTTACAGGTGCCTCTAGAGACTTCAGATCAGTGCGTGTCTGTGTTCAAGTCTCCTTGGTGTTAGAGCTGTGTGCTTCTCACTGAAGAATGCTGCAGCCTTGCCCTCAGCTGAGGCACATTCTGTGAAATTTCTTGTCCCAGCGATCCTTTCCATCTGTATTGTCATCTTCATCCATGAAAGTGGCATAAACCACTAGTGATTCACTGATTCTTCTTTCAGCAGTGAGGAAGTCTGTGTTGTTCTTTAAACCTGCACGTCGCATATTTCACAAGCTGCCCTGAGCCTTCTGAATGATCTTAATGATGTGTGAATTGAAATGAAGGCTTTTGAAAAGGTCTGGCTTGTGAAAATATTGCTAGAAATATCACTAGAGCGCGTGTTTAAGTGTCCCATCTAGCCTCTCTCAGGATAATGAAACATCCAGTTGCACACTAAGGGCAGGGGAGATAACGACTGCTCTTTCGGAAATTGCCCTTCTGAACGTTTGTAATGTTGTAGCCTTGTTTGTACGAGCTGAGGCTGAACTGTGGCGCTGACAGCTGGCTGAAGCACGCTGACTTTCAGGTCAGTACATTAGTCAGAAATGTTGTGATGACCCTTAGCACACTCAAGGAACCGATTGCAGCATCCACACGTGGCGTGCTGGTCAGAGAACTCGAGTTCCTGACAGTGATCCTGTGGTATACATTTAGGGGGCTGTAAAAGGAAATTGTACTGTCTCTTCTGCTTGCCAAGGTGAATGGACTTGTGACTCCTTGGTAGCATGGTGTTCTCTGGAGTTCCTAGGCACAGCCAAATAATATCTAAGAGACTTTTCTCCCCCTCCTGCTCATTTTTGAGGAGAGGGTCTTCTGTCTTTATTGTGATAGTTTTCTTGCAGTTTCATTATGG